ATAAACTACAACTCACGATTTGATCTCCACAAACTTTATTTTGAAAATATCACAACATGTTTCGCTAACACGGTAGCTTTATCAAATCACTTGATAGGTTTAGTTTAGTTTTGATAGGTTTAGTTTATGAAATTATTCTAAAAGCTTTTAATAATGAAGTTAGGAAAAGTTCAATTACCATGTTTCTGTGTTTGGTTTTGAAATTACTCTGAACTGGAAAACTCACAGTTACAAGTAAAATGTATTTAAACCATAGCAGATGTCGTTAATACCAATATAGAGATATTTATATTATGTAATTGTTTCTATATAACTACGAATGTGTACTTATGTGTATGTGTTACAGAAAACTATTACTAAGTAATTTGCATCTCAATGATAATAAAATGATACCAAAAAAGAAAAAAGATACCAAAGAAGGAGAACTGAAACCTTTCATGAATATGCTCTCAATGTTGATATAAATAATTCTAATTGAAAGGGAGAGAACATATTTTGAGAAAGAAAGATTGTGACTTTCTACTTCTCAATCTTCATACAAAAAATGGTGGGAATGTTTCGAAAAAAACGATTAACTCCAAAGTGAACCATTCACCAAGATGTGTACATTATGCGAAGACACGAACTGCAAGAAAATACCCTCTCGAAACAACTACTTTCATATAAATATTAAATTCCACGAAACAAAAAACACTTCCGCAACAACAATTTTTTATGAACATTGTATTATATACAAAACACTTGTTTCTATTCAGTTTGTACTCTGAAAAAGAAAAATAAAAAACGAGTATGAAAAGGAAAGTATTAGAAATATTAATTTGTGATGGAAATAAGTTATTGTGACCTGAAGTGGAAATAAATTGATACATAAGGTAAACAATGATTAAAAATATCAATAATGTACGAAAAATTGAAGAAACACCCAGTTAATTCACGACCTTTCAAATGATGTTATCCACAATCGTCTTCGGGTGACTACGATTAAAACTGACTAAGACTTAGTCTTAGTCAGTTAGATGACCAGTTAGATGACCAGGACAACAGCGAAACATCGGATGTCTAGAAGTGAGGATGACAGTGTTCCATGTGAGTGAAACTTTACTTCTTTCACTAATTATATTGTGTGGGAATCCTGTGAAAGATATCCGATTCGATCTCATTATGAATGTGAGTACAAACGGGATAGAGAAAAGTGTTTTTTCGTATAAGTCAGCGTTCATATAAAATTATTTGTTTCGAAAGTATTTTTCTTTCGTGTAATTCAATGTTTATATGAAAATAGCTGTTTTGAAAGGGCTTTTTCTTCCAGTTTGTGCCTGAATGTAACTTCTTTGCATGATTCCCACATTTTTTGTATCAAGATGGAGAAATAGAGGGACAAAAACTTTGTTTCCCAAAAAAAATTCACATAACAAAAATAGGAATATCAGATTACAAAAATGAGACTAATACTGAAAAAAATATCAATACAAAAACCTAGGGAACTGATATGAATGCAGAGAACTATAGGGATACGTTCACACTCATCAGCAATATCAGGAATTGATAACCTCTCTCAGGTTAGAATCAAGTTTTCAATATGATATCCCAAAGATACCAAACCTAAGTATATCTGTGTGAATTTATTATAAACTAGTTGTTGCTCGGGGCTTCGACCGCGTAGAATTTGATTTGTTTACATTCAGTTTCGTGACAGACCATTTTAAACAAATGGTTACAATATTTTTTATCAACCCAAAACTTCAGATTTCTAACCTCAAAACTGACGAAATTCAAGACAATCTTTGAACTCCTATTTTTTTTCTTTGGGGTGGAAATTACTGATTTCCTTTCTTGGTGCTTATTTACGCTATACAAAGAACCTACCTGTATATTTCAAGATACTAGGGTCACTAGCTTGGGATGTACGTCAATATAAGAGCGGTCAAAAGCTAGTAATTAATATTTTTATTTTGAAAATACTGTAACTGAAAAAGTTTGCCAACTGCAGTAAGTAATAAATAGCTTCGAAAATCGAATTATGTTACCTATAAAGACATTCATTGCGCTTCATTGCTTACGCTAAATGCACACACACACACACCGATTTTGGACGGCCGATTTTATACCGGTCGTCCGAATTCCAATAGTGAACCACATGTGGGAACGGGACCAGGCACACACGCCGACCGGTGATCGACGCTAATCACCGGTAGGCATGTGTGCCAGGTCCCGTTCCCACATGTGGTTCACTTATGGAATTTGGACGACGGCTATAATATTGGCCGATATTTTATTGGTAGCAAGTGCTTGCAGACTCACTGGATTTTTACTGGTCACCGTAATTAGCACGCACTACCAAAATCAAGTTAATACGTAGTAGTCGAGACTGGAATGGTCGGTAAAAAACCGGTGAGTATGCAAGAGTGTATTTAGTCACGTACGCCACTACTTCCCGGTACTGCCGACGATACGCTAAATGCACACACACCGATTTTGGACGGCCAATTTTATACCGGTCGTCCAACTTCCAATAGTGTACCACATGTGGGTACGGGACCTGGCACACACGCCGACCGGTGATCGGCGTCGATCACCGGTAGGTATGTGTGCAAGGTCCCGTTCTTATATGTGGTTCACTATTGGAATTTGGACGACCGGTATAAAATTGGCCGTCCACAATCGGTGTGTGTGCATTTAGCCTGATGTGATCGACGCCGATCACCGGTAGGCGTGTGTGCCAGGTACCGTTCCCACATGTGGTTCACTATTGGAATTTGAACGTCCGGTATAAAATCGGTGTGTGTGCAATAAGCCTTTGAACGCTTCTCTATCCCCGCGCACCGTCCCCGTAGTCTTACAATAGATGAGATGCGTAATGGCTTACTGCATTGCGTCAAGTTATTCTTATCGTGATAACTTTTAAACGATTCGTCCAAATTACTCAGTGTGAAAGACAAAGTTTATCTATATTATATACTTAAAACGACAATTGTATTAATTTTCATGAGAATTTGACAGATATTCTAAAATGTGCATAGTAAAAAAAATATCCAAATAAATTGTTTTTATGATTCAGTATTTTGCATATAGTGGCTACCACATAAGAGGTAGATATGTGCTATCGCGGACTTTCATTTAGAAGTATTTAAGATAAACAATCTTACGATACATTATATGCATGTAACTTCAACGGTAGAGGCAGCAGATAACTATCACTGGGCAAGAATTTTTTCGACTCACTCAATAATAGTAATCGTTATATCATCACCAAAATTACCCAAAACTTTTGTGAATTTGTAGCCCATATATTGTGATGTATCAGCTGTATCCTTGTAAAGTTTCATCTGAATCTGTTCAGTCATTCAGGCGTGAAAGAGCCACAAACATACATACATCCATTCCCACAAACTTTCACACTTATATTAGTATATAGATATAGATATAGATATAGATATAGATATAGATATAGATATAGATATAGATATTGAACGAATTTTATCGAAAGAGGATTTATGTTGATTGATATGAAGAGTATTTTTTGTGGACGAATACCTGGCAGCGAAACATAAAAGCATATTTAAGAAGAATGCTATCTACATAGCCATTTGAAATTTTTCCTAAGAAAAGTATACTCTTCATAATCCTTTTGTTTTCTAGTAATTCTATGTAAAATATTTTTCTGATTGGTCCATACGACCTAAAATCTGGCGAGCTGCCGTACTGTTTAAAATACAAATATTTCAGAAATTTGTTATGTATTTTTTCTAAAGTCTGCTTCGATTTTTCATGATTTGATTTTCGTATAATACTAGCATATTCTAATTTTCTTCGAAGACTTGTATTGAACAAATATCTCATACTGTTTATGTCTGTGAATTCATAAGTGAAACGTTTTAAGAAACCTACTCGTTTGTTTGTTTGTTAGATTCATTAGTGATATTTTGAATATGTCTGTTGAATTTCAGGTTACTTTGGAAGAGGACCCAGTGGTCATGTATTTCCTGAACCCTTTCTAAAACTGTATTCTGCATTATATAGAAATAGTGATGTGGAGTCTTAATTCTGCTGAACGTCATAACTTTCCATTCAGAACTGTTACAAGGTGATTTATCATCCCTGGACCAATTATTTATTTCATATATAATATTCTGAAGTTCAAAATAGTCGTTTAGGTCTCTTATGTTTCTAAGCATTTTGAAATCATCAGCATATAGCATACAGTACGATGATACTTCACTCGGGAGGTTATTGATGAATTAAAATGAATTAAAAAAAGCAATGGGCCTAGTTTGGACTCTTGGGGTATACCCGACCCTGTAAATAATATTTCAGATTTTTCTCCTCTGTAGGTGACATTAGGACTAACACTCTAAAATCGATCTCTACTGTCCAGTACAATTTTAATATTTTTCTGTAATGTGTCAGTAATATTCACATTGAACAAAAAAGACGTGGAATTTGTCCAACCAGATTACCATTTAGAAATAGGTCAGTTTGTGAATAGAGTACCTATGTGGCTTGTGAACGATGTAATGTGATATTTTTTTTGAAAAGTCGGTTCCAATGAAATAAAGAGTGAAACCGACAAAAAATAGAAATTTTCCAAAAGTGCCCTACATCAAGGTTACAGTAATCTCGAAAAACCCACAATTGGTATTCATTAGTATTGCGTAACAGATTTCTGTAGTTGTGTGTGCGTGAGTTCGTGAGAGCGAATATGTGTTCAAACAGGCGTTGGTGCGTGCTTGGGTACATCAAGATCACCCTATGTCACGATATGTCGATATTATTGGAAAGTAATCACAAGTTTTCGAGTTGTCGCTTATGACCGACCATATGTTGAAATATTTCGAAATTTGTCAGATAGTTGGCAAAACTTATATAAAAAGAAAGTTGCCTGGTTCGTTTTCTACTGGAGAAGAAATTAATCGCAAGGATAGTTACAACATTTCTTTTGTTATTATGTGAAACAAAAGCAGAATTGATATGTCGACATATGTCAGAATAAGTGACCTCACCTTAGATTATCGCAATCACCTAACTGCGTTCTATTCAACCTCGCGTTTCGACTGATGTCATTTTTAAGATAATGAATAAAAATGTAATCAATAGGTATTTAATGAACATCCAATCGATCATTGAGGCGATAAGATAACTCCAAGTAAGTGTGTTTTCAGCAGTTTCAAAAGATAAGACAATACCGGGTTGGAGAAATCATTTCAATAAACAATATTTCGCAATTCTGGACAATTCTAGAAAAATAAGTGATATGAATTCTGAAATTATCGGGCTTTTCATTTTGGTAGATGCAGAGTATAATATCGTTACGCTCATGATTTTGAACAGTTTTTATTAACATACACAACTTCACGTGCAAGAATGAGCAGATGTACTCATCATCCCTTAAGGAAGGTGACATGGGGGCATGTGGTTAAAAATCGAAGATCAACTAACGGAATGATTCTTTTTCCAAGATGTGAATATTTGTGCGCAATACTTGTGAATATTTGTTATGAAATTCTGCAGCGAAACTGAAACCGCGACTGACATGGAAGATTAGAACCAAAAAAAATTGGTCAAATGTTGAAAGACCGGAAACCAGGATTCTTTCTTCAACCATAGTTAGTGAAATCATCCCATTCAACAAAAAGCTTACACAAGAGTATAGTCTATCTATTCCCAATTGGAACGGCAATAAAAATAAGAGTACTGTCATAAACATTTCTTGCCTGTGGCCCCTAGTCGCCCAGATAGTTAGTAAACGTGCTATCAAATGTAGTTGAGGAGTAAAGGCTCAGCTAGTTGGACTGGCTGAATAGTAATTGTTTTTGTCCGTTTCACAATATTTCTTTATCAGTGCCGTGTGTTCGTAGGGTTAGGTGAGGTAGTGAGTGGTTTTGCAAACCGATTTTTGAAAACTTTTTCTAGGGATCAATTACCCTAACACCCAACTGATATTTTTTGCACTCGACGCGCGTTTCGCTAACAAGCTTAGCATCTTCAGGAGAAGCAAATTGATACTGAATCTGAAGACAAGGGTTAGCTGTTTATATACATAAAGTTTTTTGGTCCGATGTCGACTTTGTTTGTTAAATGATGATAATCCTGATTGATTTTTCGGTAATTAACTAGTGGAACCACTACCCACAAATTAATTTGTCCGCTTTTTAATCTATTGTTGACAAAATGAATGAAATGAAAACTTTCTGGCTAAATACAGCGGAAGGTCAACCCTCATATATTTTAAATTTATGAAGAACCACTACTCGATAGTGAACACTATCAAGTGGGAAAACCTGTAGTTCGACACGTTTGTCCTCCGAGGGTTGCACTCTGCTCCAGACACCAAATGGAACGCGTTTGCGAGCAATATTGGTGACTACAGTTACTAGATGGCTATACAGTGCACGCTGAATGTGAATGATATTGGCAACAAATCTTTTAGTGTTGTCAGTTTTATTCCCGCACACAATATTGATAAGATGTTTCTGTCCTAAATTGAGCTTCGGCGGAAACATGAAATGAAGCTACGGTGCTTTATCATCATCCGGACTGATCGCCCTGATACGATAAAAAGCGGCGGAGTAACTATCATAATATGAATAGGTATCGCACACACGCTAATACCACAAAAACGCAATAACATTATGTATAAAGCTTGCTGACGATTCCTGTGTATTTACAGTTCACAAACGGCCGGATGGATGCTTCGCTCCGGGTGAACTGGACAATTTGTTGAACGTTGGTAATAAGGTGCTGGGTGGCGTGAGAGGTACTACCGCAACCAACAGAACGTGAACGTGACCCTGTTGGTGTACTCTCTTGACAATAACGTTAATGTTGAGTAGTCAGAGGATCCCATTCACTATCCTTGGAATGGTTTGGTGCGTCGCCCACTACGGCCGACCTCGTCCTCAACCAGATCATGAGAAACCTGAGCGAACTAGTCATAGTGGACAAGCTGAGCTCCGATCACTGTCTGGCGATCTTCAGTCTCAATATAGAAGGTCCTAGAACCAGGAAGGTAATGGCCAAACTAATTGTACCTAACTTTCACGTGAACTGTTTCAGGTTTAGGCATTAAGATTCAACCTGCAGTAACTATAGCGAACGTTGGATGTATTGAAATAGAAGTTTAACTTTCGCGTGATCCTCAACAGGAAGTGAGACGTGATAGAAGCAGGCTGAAATGAAGCTCTGTCGAGTGGTGAGTCACTCGCTTTTGGCAGGAGTGCTTCCCACTGTACGCTAAATGCACACACACCGATTTTGGACGGCCGATTTTATATCGGTCGTCCAAGTTCTAATAGTGAACCACATGTGGGAACGGGACCTGGCACACACGCCGACCGGTGATCGGCGTCGATCATTGGCAGTTCAAAATAGTGAAGCATTTTAATCATATATGTTTTAAATATATCAACCTTCGACCAAGTAATGTGTTGAAAGTTTAATTTTTCTGAATTGGAATCAATAAATTCAGAGTTATGGGTAGTAACCAGATCGCAACATTTTCAAAACTTCTGAATCCAGAACTTCATACTGGACATACGTTTTGAAGATCATATACTTCCCTGCTAGTGGATATATCACTGCTTCAAAAAGGTATGGAAGAGGAAGTCAGAATATATGATGGCCACTATCTTGCACTGACGAGTGGCTAATGAGCCCGAAACCGGTCTGCAAGTGTGCCCGTTCCAAAATTGAAGGTTGACTGTTTCAGTTGTACTGCCAATTGCACATGCAGCAAATTTTCTGTGAATATTCCTGCACTGACGCCTGTCGGATATAAGCCAACGTACTTCGTGGTATTAGCCAGGGGAGTAATTGTTTTCTGATAGGCGTCAGTCCATTCAACCTATTGTGTAGGTGTATCTGATCCTGGCTTGAACGTTTAAAGTTCATTTCTTAAGAAAAAAATTGATGTCTGCTTCATATGCAATTTTATGTGACAATCCGACTGCAAAGATATACTGTCAAAAACCAGTCTATGTTTGAAACGGAAGTTATCCTCTCTTCCTGAAAGGGTAGACAAAAATGATCTGTACAGAATACAGATGCTCTAGACATGACACAACATGTTACAGTTGTATGCTCCAGTCTAACTATAAAAAATCTAACTCAATGATATATACCCTAATAAATCGTTAGGACGTTAATAATTTTTATTTGTCTCATAAACTATCATGCCCAACTGAGTAACACTCTCGTTCTCAATTAATCAATAGCTTCCGATGAGGTGAACTAATGGAATTCATATTAACGACAAATAATAGGAGCCTCAGGATTGAACCTTGAATTTCTAGGTCTGATTTTTGAAATTTCTGAACCATGGTTTTGTTAACCTACAACAATAATTTTTCAATGAAGGCGTTCGGACTCTTCAGACTCCCATGAACTATTTTGCTATTCATACCCGGTAAACTTAATTAAAACTCTGATACATCAAAATATTATCAATAAGTGTTTTATATATTGGTCCAACGTTTTATCGTTAAATCATTCATATTTATCAGTATCATGGATTGATATCATTGTTTGCTATTACTTTTTCTTTATATTTGCTAATTTTAGGTGATAGACTATAGATTGGTTTGATATCTTTGGAAAAGATAAAATACTCACTTTGGTACTCACCATATCAGAGAATATTACAGAGAACAACGAATCAATAACGGTAAAAGGTAGTAAGTACAAACGTGTGCAGTTTTCAGAATTTTCAACAGAGAATGTGATTGTGAGACATGTACTCATTCAAAATGATTGAAGGTAAGATAATTATATTGTTACTCATGAAGCTAACCAAAACTCGAAATTTTTTAATTTCAACATATGTACTTTTTTAGTTGAAAATAATCAACTCATGGCTCGCAAGAGTTTAAAGACTTCTCAGAGTTGGTGACTTTTTCAACAGCGATACATTCAACATACATAAGTGAATATATGACCAATTTATCACAAAAACTGCTTCTAACCACGCCATATGCTGTTAATTTATTTATATCACAAATATAACATACATAACATGCTATCAAAATTTTGCAATTTTACTTTTCAGGTTGTTGGCAGTAAATTTATAAAAAAATAATAGTTTTGTTATCTCCACATAAAAAATTATTTTCATTAACGAATCGATTGAAAAACAATCTCGATTGATTCTTAAAAATATATGATCGATGAATATTTTATTTGTGAGAGTCTTATCAGTTTAGAATAATTCTTATCTTTGATCTTTGTCGTCATATTGATTTGATTTTATGTGATTCAATATGCGCGCGGGTGAAGTACCAAAAGAAATATTGCTTATAGTACAGTACTGAGGTTACCGTAAATTTGTACTGAGCATTATTGTTGAGAAGGAAACTAGGCTCAAATTGTATCTTATCTACTTGGCCTTATATAGTTCTGTTTGTATCCCTATTTCAATGCCCACAGTGAACATCAATAGAAATATTATACATCGCCCAGAAAAAATCGAACACCCTGTGTGACCGCCAATATTTTTATTTTGTCGAGCTCGAGCAATAAGGTAATATTATAGAAAATTAGATTCCTATCTGCTTCCTATATAGAGATATGGAACACCGCGCCACTGTTGCAGGACCCTGTAATTATTCATGATACATTGATTCATATTAACAAATGTAACTAACTCCCTGTTTCAATATTTCCGAAACGTTTTATTTCGGCTATAGTTGACTCATTCACAAGAGAAACCTAATGACTTTGTTTATTTTGCAGATCTGTTCAAAAAGTTATTTTTGATTTCAACACTGCTGGTGTACAGAGGTGAGTAATGTTAAGCATTATACCCTCATTAGTTATTATTTCAACGCCCGTAAGAAGTAAGAAAAATTATTACTCGTTGGTAAAACAGTAATGAACAGTAAACAAAGGTTATAATCCGACATGCACACTGTGTTCAATGTGCCATGTTTTCTGAAAATGTAATTATTTGTGTAAAAAAAACAAAAATTTAGGAAGAATTGTTTTCAATTATATACGCATCTACACACATATTGTCACGACCCCAGTTGGGTCTTTTGGTAACCAGTTACCAATTTTCGCTTATTGGGTGTTTCACTCTTAATTTTGTTCCTTCAATTTATTTACCCAGTTCACGAGGCAGGGCAGTATTTTTTGATACTTTTTTATTTCCAAAGGATATGCTGACATAGAAATAGAACCAGCAGCAAATGTGACTAGCGATAAAGGAAATTCAACTATTACTTTACGTATGGATGAAAACAACCATAACTTCCACGATAGAGCTGCAATCTTCAAAGTTGGCGGTGGTAAGTATAATTATACGCAAGAGCATCCGTAGCAACCGATGAACAAGGTCAATTTTTGATCAATTCTGTGAGTTTTTCCACAAAAACGATGTGTTGTGCAAATACGTTCAATCTTTTCGATACTGTTCATAATATTATCTGCCAACTATTGGGATTTCACTAAGGAAGTGAGTCCGTGAGCAGTATGGAGGAAGTGCTCGACTGCCTGATGAGTAGGGACATGGGTGAAGTAATTCATTTGATCGCCTGGGAGCTTCTCGATTGTCCGTCGCGAAAGGCTTCCTCCGCAAATAATCCTGCCGACTATTCACTCTGGTCAGCCAGAGGAAAATAAAAATTAGATTGAGCCGAATGAACTGGCCAACAAAAAGCGTAGGCTACCAGAAGACTTTCCTCCTCTTCCTTCCCCATCCAAATCAGCCTTTCAGACGGTCAGAAATACTGGGTAACGTGAACGATGTTGATATAGATGACAGCTCCGAAACTGGAGCCAAATCAAACTACACTATACAGGGTGGCCATAAAAATCCGGCGACGTAAAATGTTGATCAAATCAATCAGATTGGAAGTCCTGCCGAAGAGGGAGCTAGCTTCCCTCTCCCTGCGCGTCCTGAGGTGCCCCAAAATATACGTACACGTATTGTCGTTCGCCAGAAGGAAAAGTGGGTTCGATTAAAAAAGCTGGCAACTTTCTAGAAGGTCAACTTTTCCAAGGCAGTGAACTTGGCCAACGGTATCAAGGTGCAGCCTTCGTCGGTTGTCGATTACCGGGGATAAAATTCTCCACCTCATGTACACTCTCCCTGAAGACAGGAAAATCAGAGTCATCTTCAGAGGAGTCCCAGAACACCTGGAAACCTCTGACATCGAGGGCGCTCTGGTGAAAAAAGGTTTCCAACCATCATTCATCACCAGGATGATGCGAGAAAACCGACCTCTTTCTCTGGTTTTCGTAAACTATGACGTCAAGGATATACTCAACGTCAAAGTTAGAGTAGAACCACAACACCAAAAGATACTGGAAGGGCAGTGTCAGTGATGTCAGCGGTTTGAGCATTGCCAGCAGAACTGCTTAGCCTAACCCATCTGTGTCAATGGCGCCGGCAAATTTTTTCAGGTGAATGCACACGTACTATAACGGGTGCACAGACCTGACGTTCTTGACATCGCACTGCTCAGGAGCGGCTCCATGTCCTGCGAAGTTTACACTTTGTAGGAACTAGACTCGAATCATAATCCAGTCATCCTGATGCTGGGAAATGATCCTCCTCTCCAGGAATATTACATAAGTTCATTCACGAATTGGAAAGCCTTCAAGGCTCAACTGATGGATACATGCACAAAGCGTGAGGCACTTCAAACTCGCAATGATCTCGACGCTTTTGGCGCAGCAACAACCAGGACAGAGTGATTTTCCTACAAGGATAAAGAACCTCATTCGAAAGAGAAATCGATTCATGCGAGTTTATAAGCTCTATCCTGGAGATGAGGCTGCGGCTAGCAGGATGGCCAACCAGGTTGACCAGGTCAGGTGGAGCGAGTGTTTGGAATTCCTCGAACCCGGGGATAATGCGCTCTGGCGAATCATCAGCAGGCTTGAAACGACAAAAACTGCTCGCTCTCCCCCCTTCAAGTACAGCGCGGCATCTGCTAGCCCCCACCCCCCCGAGATAGGTATTGGCCTTTGCAGATACAACGGGGAGTCAGTTTCGACTTAACTTGATGATATCGATATCGATATCCGGCTGGAATGCCGGCTTTAGCGAATCTTTTGATAAATCGTCGACTCACCTGGGTGCATCAATTTGAGAACATATGGGCAAGGTACAATCGAGGATAGCTAGACGATATCCTCTGGTAAACAGAAAGTCAAAGCTCAACCTTACAAATCAGGTTTTATTATACAATACGATTTTAAAACATGTTATAATGTGTGCTTCAGGCGCTTGGGGATCAACCGCCCCGACAAATATTTCCATTATGGAAAAATTACAGAATAAGATCTAACGGATACTGGTGAATGCTCCATGGTTCGTGCGGAATGAAGCCATCCTCAGAGATTTGAAGCTGTTGACTATACAGCAGTCCAATCAGTTGAGGAATTAGAGTTTTCGAGTCGGCAGAAACTCATAAAAAAACACTAGTCGGGGATACTATAATCGATCTCACCCGACTAAGAAGGCCCCGTCGCTCAGTTGAGTGAAGGCCCCACGACGTAAAAGTGAACAGTTTGTTCATCAAATACCCCAGTCAGGAAGATATACACAGGGCCAGAGCGGCATAGAGGTCACTGACTTTCATGTCGTATCTAAACACTTGTTTTGATACATTCGTCTTCCTGACGAACCTCAGTTGAAAGTGTAAAGGATTATTTTCCAACCTGATTGAGAGTCATAAACAAAATTACTGAACTATTAGGGAATACAACACGCAAAAGAATACTCTCACGATATTGATTCCAATATTTCGACATGTTTTATTGACACCATCAGGAAAACTACAATAATGAAGATGTACTGTTTACATATTGTTTGAATTTGGATGGAACTACTCCTAATATCCTTGAGGTTGTTGGCAAATGGTAGACGAATTATCACATATATGCACAAAATCGTTGTATAGTAACTAGGTTCGGAACTTTTTAATTTTCATATTTTGTTAATTTTTATTCTTCATCTCGTCTCAACAGTTCATTTTTTAATTTTTTATTGTTGCTTGTATTTTTTTCATTGTTATTTCAGTTTTTTTGTTCAATATAATTTTGTTATTTTTCAGCTGATCTTTTTTAATTTTTTATAGATTCTTTCAGAGATTTCAAATCAATTTATATTTTATTAGACAATGGAAATCCGAACCAATGAAATGCACCACGAAACATTGTCAACCACTTTCAAACAAATAAATTTAATGTCTGAGAATGGTACACTATGTTCGTTATTTTTACACTCTATCGTGAACTGTATATATGGATTATATCTCTTGAAAAATTTTCAATTTGACTTTGTCTGCAGATGGCGCAATGGTACATTCTATTGAATCAACTGCAGGCAGATCCTATTGGAAGGATGACTATTTGGAATTATTTCTATTTGTTCGGAATATTCAGACGGTTCACTCTATATGAAATGATCCACCCGGCATTGACGAAGTACTAGTACTCCGGAACCGGTCTGCTGGTGGTCATCCCGACAAAATTAAATCAATTTCAGCTTTTCATATATAGAAAGTTACTTACGATGAATCTTTCAAATGGAAGGCGTTGTACAGATGCCAGATAGTTTTACTTCAGCTTTCTGCGCGGCATTAGCTGGGTTAGCTGTTGTTTTTTCCGTTGGGTATCGGATATAAAATCGTAGATTTCACATGAGAGGCAAGGGTTTGATATTTCTACCAGAACTTGGGCATATCATGTGTACCTCTTCGGAATATGTTTATTATATTAGAGCAGCGATAACCCCTTTCCTCTAAACTGTGAACAAATTGAGACATCAAGGTCGCACAAAATCAACGTAAAAAGTATCACCACCAGAAAGTAAATGATAGAAATACATGAACCAAAGTAGAAACTTGTATTCCTCATATTATTCATACAATTAACACAAGATTCAAGAAATTTCCCAAATTTTCAATTTTTGTGATACTTTTTTCAAACTCGTTACAAATGATGTAGTGTAGAAACGCATGAGCTGAAGTAAAATTATTCATTTCTCACATTATTCGCATTTTAGAAAGTGTCTTTGAATTTCTCTTTAGCAGTTTTGAAGTCAGGTAGAGTTCTTCGATTGTATCAAAAAAGACTACTTCTGAACCTGTAGTAACTTGGTTTCTTCAGACCATCTGTTTGCTTTTGCTGCTCTTTTAAACGTTTTCCAAAATTCTTCCACACTCTCACTGGGCTTGCCCAAAAATGATTTTGGGTTTACCGATGTATAAACTTCGACTGGTTCAGTATCCGATATTTTTGTCTCAATACTTCAAGATTTTTCTTACTTGTTATAATTGTCACTATCCGTTGATTTCTCTGAATCTTTGTAATACTCATTTTCTTCAATTGTGTGTTTGGCCTGATAGTTTTGCCCCTTCTTTCTTAGTCTTGTTAACAGATAATTACTTTCACAATTTTTTTAGACAGGATGTCCGTCATCTACATCAATTTGTGACACATGGGGTTTTGGGGGGCAAAAAAAGTGAAGTCCACGAAGTCCGTTGGTTGCATTCTAGTTTGAATTATACAAATAACACTTTTTTCCTAAACTAACTCTACCGACCCCTGATCAATCGATCAATAACATGCGCATCTAGTTAACATACGCTCTTGATACCAAATCAGTGGCGTAGTACATATGCCACATTCAGTAACGTACGAATAATAGAAATAAAAGAAAATCATAGTGAAAAAAAAACAGATTTAAATTGATAGATGTGGCCATTACTACGTGGTAGGAAATCATCATGAAGAAAAGAGAAATGAAACTTTCTATGTTTTTTACCACTTTTATTTGTAACTAACGTTACTGCAGTTTCGTCCTATACGGATATTTTCAAACTTATACAATAAACTCGAGTTTATTGTATAAGTTTGAAAATGGCCGTATAGGACGAAACTGCAGTAACGTTAGTTACAAATAAAAGTGGTAAAAACATAGAAAGAAAACAGATTTGTTGAAAACTTTCGATTGTGGATACTGAAAATTCAATTCATTTTATGGACAAATTTAGAAATTCAACTGTAAATAATATAATTTTGTACAATAAAGTAACTCACTGAAAAATATTCAGAAGACATTCGGTGGAATTATGTATATTTCAACATAACTATCACAAAATCAAATATATTCAGAACCTAAAAGGTGTGAAGTTGTTGAATATTCCATAAAGGAAAACGTCATGAAATTTGAAATATCACACTGTGTACTTATTGTTTGTACTGATTGAGGTTAATTAACTATTATCATTTTCATTCATTTGTTCATTCAGTTATTATTTTCAGTTTCCAGTGAACCTTCAGTAAGATTTCTCACAACACCATCAATCAACTATCAATTCCAACAGGAAAGCGGAAAATATATATTTTATTCGAATGACTATTTTGATTACGAACAACCAGAACAACGTTCCTACAGATTCAATGTATATAACGAACAATATATCAAAACCATATATCTTGTTATCAACAACATTGATGATGAACCTCCAACCCTGACCTCACCACAATGTACCTTAAATGTGAGTATACTGGTTAATTGATTTGATCAACAAGAGAATATGACATGTATATTTTCATGATATAAATAATATGTAATGATCAAAACTAGGTTTTCTTTTTAGTATTTGATAGAGAATCTGCGTGAGTGTTCACAAAAAGAAAAAACTGAATAGTTCAATTATTTAGTAGGTAACTGATTTTATAGTATACAATATCAATTTCATCTTGTCACTTGAAGGAAAATGTCTGATAACCATTTCTTTCATAATTTTTCCATAAAGTAAGCCTATTATTGATAAACCAATTGTTGTGAAGTCTTCGTTTGCATTCAAAGTTGTATAATTGTTGAACACAATCTCTGAAAATCATTTCACTATGTGAAGAACTTTTGACAGGAAGATGTACTCAAAGAAGCTGACAGCTAAGAATTTTCAATTGTAATTATTTTATTTTCTACGGATTATTTAAAAAAAAATCGAAAATTTTTTTCAGTTGTTAAGGAAGAGCAGTTCTACATCCTTTGGCATGGTTGAGAAACAGGCTTATATACAACGTCGTTCAGTCACTTTCCGTTTAGAAAGAAAAATTCCGACAGAACACTGATTACTGCAAAAAGTATCGATTACCCACTGCCATCTCGTTATAGTTTCCGAAATATTACATATCAAAGATCAAAGACCAATGAATTGCTTGAATTCGTGTTATATAAGTTACTTACCAGCATTTTCGTTGTTGACAAGAGTAATCTAATGGATATATGAACAGAGAGAGTCCTGGATATATAGAGATAACTCACTCTTTCATAGATGTATAACACAGCTCACACATAAGTATGACTTATAATAGTATATTATGCAACGATCATGTAATGATGGTTATTAAGACACGAGCATTAACCGGGTACGAAACGAGCCGAAGGCGAGTTTTGTATGGTATATGCGAGTGTATTAATAACTATTACATGAGAGTTGCATACGCTATTTTTTCTAAACCCGATAAATAATGAAAAACTATAAATATTATATTTGTATGGAACACATTCACAGTAATTAACTCATTTTTTTTAAAACACAAACTTAATGGTATTATCATGGATATATGAAAACTATAAAGATTCTAATTATATTTATATTGAATATAACAACTGTAATTAATCTGATCTTTTAAAAATATTGGAGTCGATGGTATTCCTTCTATATCGCTGTTTTCAGACTTTTGATAATATAGGTAGGTAATATGAAAACTGATTTTGACAAATAAAGCAATTAGTTACTTAGGTTAGAATCTAGGACAAACAAAGGAACAGAATTCTTGATTGAAAAATTATGGGTTTCTATTGGTTGATAATCTGTATCGTTATGAAAAATCTGTATCATAATGGATATCATTTTGAAACAGATTATGGTCATATAAGTGTATTGTTAGAGTACGGGTGTAGAAAAAAGTAAAAAATGAGCCACCCTTAATGAGTCATTTGATATCGAGACCGTAAAGCGTAAAGAGTCGTGAAACACGTCAACTTAATATTTAGGGGGATACATTTCCATAATAACCCACAAGTCAGAATTTCAAAAAGAGAGATAATTGTCCAACTTATTTGAAAGGTGTTTCAGTTATATATCCCTGTAACATTTTTGACATTACAACGATAAGCAGAATCGACTTTTTTATATTCAATTTTGATCTAAAAAGTAGGACCAAACAGATGAATTTACTTTACCAAACGTTCAAACTGAGCACCATCAATTTGCTTACAATGAAATAAACGAACCTCTATTCCACCACATCCTGATGAATATCAGCCCTACAGCACCTGATAATTATCTTCAGTAGTTTGCTGCATCTAGTAGTCTTTTTATTCCAACCATCCTCATTAAAAATAGTCATGGGAGTAAAATCGAGATATCTGGGTGGTCATTCTGCAAAACATCGACCCGGAAAGTTTTTATAGAGGAACTATCGCGCTGGTACTACGCAATGAAGCCTCATTTTTTCCATATCACAATAGAGGATCTTACTGGGTGGCGTTGTCAATGCTTCGCATATTTTGGTCACCCAGCAAATTGGAATTTCCTTCACAATTCAGGTTCACTTCCAAAAAGAATGACCATGAAGATGGTTACAAAAAATTCCTGCCCAAACTTTCAGTGTTTGGAAATATTGGGTGTAAATTTAGCGTGACATATCAGGATTTGAATAAACTCCACTATTGAAATGTTGACGATTCACTTACCTGTTCAGATAAAATGTACATTCATTCGAAACATGTGGTGTACAACAACGCAGAGTTACGGTTGATGCGTCGCTAGAGGATGCCAGAAATTTCCACTCTTCTGTCGAAATCATCTTTGTTCGATTCATCAACTATTTTCATTTGGTAGTGGTGGATATGTATCAATGAAGAATTCTGAAAACGTTATTACTACTCACTCCTAATGGTTCAACCCAGTCAATGACTGCGTGTCAAAGGCAACCTGGACTGGAACTGCAACAACAATACATTCGTTATTCACTATTCCTGAACGGTCATGTTGTCTGTTATTGATGTTACCAGTTTCCATTAATGCATGTGAAAATTCCAATACATATGTGAGTCTAACATTTCTTTTTCTTTCCGGACGATTCTTGTTTAAAACACAAGTCTCCCAAAAATAAGTTTAAATTTGGAGGATTTGAAAGAATTTTGCTTTTACACTGAAGTTCAAAATATATTCGGAATTGCATTCCAAAAAATAGACATATGAAAGTGGATTCATGAAAAAGAAAACACAGTATATAGTAGAAAATGCCCAAGTGTGTAAAAAAACTGTTTTCTTCATTTTTTGAAAACGCCAACTTGATTGGTGAAATGCGCATCAAGAAGAGTATTGCACTTCTAGTGATTGGTGAAATTGCTTGTTTGGGATTTATTCTACGCCAGAGGTTCCAGTTGTACCTTTCGAAACAAATAGTTGTCCTCACAACCCATAAACTTTGTATTACATATTTCACAAATTCCAAATTCTAATTAGAAATTTCAACTTCAAACTGGAAATGGTTTTGTCTTATCTCGAAACAAATATGTTCAAGCCAGCCATATGTTTCTATTCGACATAGGTATCATGAGTGGTGCTAGGATGAACCACGAATAGAATTCCACCATGGCCCCCTCGGGGCAGAGTGCCCTGAGATCAAATCTTCCCTATACTGTTACTGTGTACATCCGTCCACTCCCACTCACTTAAGGATGGTCCAGAATCTACTGCTCAGTACTTCAGCAATATTGAAATCCCACCTCTCGTGGTCGGAAATCAGCATCTAGTGCTCTTACTCTCTTATATATGGTTATTTGTAAAACCTGACTCTACTGTGAGTAGTTTGCGCATGGTAGTTCCCTGTACCTAGCTGTATTCGAGTGCACGACACTAAAGGACAAGTTTCAGTATAAGTGAGTAAGGACTTCTTTTCTCACGAGAACGCCATTCTTGGGATCGACAGAAGACTAATTTTATGAAAATCAAAGAGGAACGAGGCTCCCAAAGCGGTCATTTGCAAAGTCGAGGTGTCTTTTACTGCAGTCGTGATTCAACCCCAGACAGCGCTGTTCCAATCCGCAGAAATCTCATCAGTAGTGCTAGGCTGAACTATCTAAACCACGAATGGATTGGTGAACTCAACTATCCTTAAAGGACAAATCTGAGGATGAGTAAGCATGGACAACTCCCTTACCAACTAGATTTTTGTATCTGAAGGCGGAGGTATCGATTAACTTTGATAACAAGATTTCTGAACCTTTTCTTAATTTTTCAATAATTTTGTAGCTTATATAAAATTGTAAAAATTGATAGCATATAATAATCAAAAATAATGATACTTTTATTGAGTACAGATTTTGGAAAATCTCCACCAAGCGAACAGTTTCAGGAGTTTTTGTTCAACTTTTAGGAGACTGTATGTAAACGAGAATTATAAACTAATATATAAAATGAAGTTGATGGTGGAATCTAATAACGGAATGTAACATTGCAAATTGTCTTATACCAGGTCATTGCAAATATGAAACAGTGTTAAAAGTTCATCTTCCCTTTTTTCATCGTTCGAAATGGAGGTGGTAGAGCGATAAAACGAAATTGAACAACGGTGAATATTTCAAAAACAACCATTGAAATTCTCGATTTGAGAAAATATTATTCTATTTCCTCAAAATAGGAAACTTTTGTTCAATTCAACTGACTTTGTAAGTGTTACCGTTTCCGGTCTATATAATTGGTTCTAGTGTGACAATGACGGCTACTGCCGTCGTTAGTTTTTTTCAAATAATGGTTGAAATTATTTCCGTATATAGGAATATAATATGATTTTTGGAAGAACGTGGGTGCTTTTCTGACAGTTCAAGACATCTTACTGTCCGTCGAAGTGTCATGAAAAGATGACTGGAATAACTGAAGTGACTTCATTTGTCATTAAGCAAGATATTTGGGAGGGTGACTACACATTTTTGGTCTGGGTACAAGTTATATATTTTTGATATTCAATTTGCTGAAAATGGTGTTCCTCATAGGTGTTTCTTTACACGTAGAAAAATATACATTATATTTTCAAATTTTCCAAAAACCTTTTCATCAGATAACCAATCACACAGTATTTGAAAGAAATTAGAATTCTCAGAACTCCGTTCATTATGAAGACGAAATGTAGTTTTTGACTGAAAGATAGATATAAAAACAAAATTATGTAAAACTTTTATAATTGACCAAAATTAAACTTTGATCCAATCAGTGATCTGAGCCCAGTATTCCATAGAATTGACTAGATGTGCATGGGTGCATGGTGCACTATCATCATACATGGTTTGAGAGACATTTATCTTTTTACCATTATTTGTTTCATGCGTATTCAGTCTACAGTTTTTTGCATTTTGTTCATATTTGATTCATTTGTCCAGGAAAACACCGTCTACAATGTCCAAAACAGTACTTGCTCTTGTACGCTTACCGACCCTGATGGATGGCTTAATCAAACAACATTCAAAATATTACCTGGATCATCTGTAAGTATTATGCCAATTCACAATGAAAATATATTTTAGCAATCTAATATCAGTATGTGCTACTTGAGCTATGAACACCAATAATAAACAAATCGGATAGGGTTATTCTGTTTGTGTGTCATTAGTAGCAGTCATTGTGATATTTCACATCGTTATCACAAAAAAATATTAAGAATAGTGAATGGAATGAAAACAGCAAATACAACTCAGAAATTGGCAGTACAAACATTATCTATACAGTGTATTTATTTAATGCCCCCCTTTTATTTTTTGAACGGGTCAACTCAAAAAATTGAAATTTGGTAAAATGGAATTAATGCATGAATACTTCATTTTGAAGTGAAATTGACAAATGAAACTTTGAAGATAGCGACTGGGCGCCATTTGGAAAAAAAAAATTAAATGGAAAGGGGTGTCTTGTGACACATCTTTTTGAAGCTCCTGATAAATGCTTCATAACCCTGGAACATAATGTCAATATCTTCATTAACTACAAAATGACGGAACTTTTAATAATTGCCTGAATACATTGACATTTAACTACATAATATTAGGTAATAAGCTTGAGGTCACTTCAGAAGATGCTCGAAATGGTTGCCTAACATTTTCTAACACAGTTACGTCCATATCTCTACAAATATTCATTATTCTCTGCTGTGTATTCAATATTGAAGCAAGTTCAGTTCCGTACACCTTTTGCTTCGAATAACCCCATAAAAAGTCTATAGGTGTCAAATCTGGCGAGCGGGCTGGCCATTCTGTAGGACCTCGACGGCCAATCCAACTACCGGGAATAATAGTATCCAAATAGTTTCTCACTTGTCTGGAGAATCCATTAGGATTCGCTTCGACGATTTCAATGATGAGAGAGTCAACAGTTGTTTCCAGCATATTCAAATACAGTTCCCCTGTTGAATTTTGATCAATAAATTGAGGTCCTACAATATGGTTTTCCAATATTCCTGCCCAAACGTTAATTTTTTCTGGATATTGGGTATGTGTTTCCCGGAAAACGTGAGGGTTGGTGTCACTCCAATAACGGAAATTTTGTCTGTGAACATCGCCGTTTGAAAAAAATGTACATTCATCACTAAAACAAATATTGTGGAGATAGGTAGGATGCCTTGCAATATTGGAATTGTCATATGGCAGATGAAAAGAAATATTTCTAGATATATCGATATTAATGTGTTTGTCTTTAGGAAATTATTAAATGTTCCGCCATTTTGTAGTAGGTGAAGATAATGATTTCATATTTTAGGGTTTTGAAGTACTCGTCAGGAGCTTCAAAATGATGTGACACAAGACCCCCTTTCTGTTTAATTTTTTTTCCCAGATGGGGCCCAGTCGCCGTCTTGAAAGTTTCATCTGTCAATTTCACTTCGAATGAAATATTCATGCATTAATTTCATTATCCCTAATTTCAATTTTTTCAGTTGACCCGTTCAAAAATAAAAGGGAGTGGTGGCATTAAAGAAATGCACTGTTTATGCAATCTCTAATAAATACACAACATTCAACAAATATCAATTCACTCATGTAATGCACTGTTTGAAACCTTTGGTATAGAGGAAGATCAAACTAGTTTGATCAAACTAGTTTGATCTTCCTCTTGAAGATGATCACTTGGTGATCGAAACACGTTTCAAGGTTTTAAAATAACGATTTGATGTTGGGAAAAAACTCCAATAATATACATTTCACTCAACCTATAGAATTTTGGTTTCCAAGGATCTTCCTCGAAAGAGATTTTAACATATGCATATGATAACTTGTATTGCTTTACACTGCAACCAGAATTTTCATCACAGACACTTACATATTCTGAGAATTTGTTGTACATTTCCCATATCAATGATATTTTTTTTAAAAAACTTATTCAAATCAAAATCAAAGTCATTTATTTCTTGAAGACAATCATAACAATTGTATAGACATCGTCAATATAACAATAGAAGTACAGCTACATAAATGTATACACATGTATTGGTGAATGTTTCTATCTTTTCGATGAAGGAAACAAATCTATAAGAAAATAAGTATTTCAAATGGAATCTTGAAACATTCATCTCTCTCAGCTACCTCTATCAGGGTAGATACCATGAGATTTGAAGTGAATTAATTAATTTTACAATTGATGTATTATAGCTATTGTAGAATGGAGATCATAAAACAGAGCCATATTCTAATTTTGACCTAACGTAAGTTACATAAAAAGTAATTAAAGCAGATATATTTCAAAAAGATATACAATTGCGAACTTTAAACTCATAAACTCCCAATGCTTCACAATTTTTTATCAAAATATACACCAAGATCTTTGATTGAGTTACTACCTGACAGTGAAATGGTATCTACTGGATAATTGTACTCGATGACCAATATACTACTGCAAGACACTACATTTGGATGCGTTGAGATATTGTTTGTTTCCTTCACATCAAGTCTGTATATTTTCTAACTGTCGTTGCAATGTATTACAATATTCGATAGTTCCGACAGGTGAATATATTTTATATTATCTGCAAGAACTAACTTATTACTGAGGTTATTGAAAAATAATAAGAATAAAAGTGATCCGAGATTCGATCCCTGAGGTACTCCAGGTGAAGGATTGTAATGACTGTAATCCTAGCCGTTATAAGATACAAACTGTTCGCGTAGAAGTAAGATTTAATGAAAAGTACTACTGAATTATCGAAACCAAATTGGTGGAGTTTTTTAGAAGGATCATGTGACCAAGTCGATCAAATGCTTTAGCAAAATCAGTGTATAGCACATCAACTCAACCTGGAATATCTAACACATCATCAACATTAACATGACGTTTTTTTGAAACTGCCATCCGGCTCTTCATGCCATCAGTATTTTCTCTATTAATAACATTCTTCCCAATATTGCAACCCTATTTTGTTGGGTTCACTTGCACAGTTTTCTTCGCCTGGGAGCTTAGGGGTCGTAAATTAGGACGAAACTTTCAATTATTGATTTTGAAATGGGCACCACCGGGTTTTGTATTTAAGGTATTTAGAATTATATCAAACACGGAAAACATAATTTGACAGATGAGTTATGAGACAATTATCTCCAGATACTACGAAGAATATTATTCCAACCTTGTTGAGAAATGTAAAATACCTAAAGATAAATAAACATTTAATCTTTTTACCATTCAAATGAAAAAAATGTGGATGAGAAACGAATTAGCATGCGCGTAGTACCTACTGTATTCAGCCTAACAAAAGTTGTCAAGATGTTTCTTTTTGTTACCGTGAAACGAAACTTCCATAATAAATTATCAAAATTAAATTTTTTGGAATGGTATCTCATCTTAAAATATTCACTAACAGTGTGGTCAATAGTTATTCAGGAATATTTATAATAAACAAAAAATAAACTTTATTGATATAAGTTCATTCTTATTTCCATACAGTTTAAAATTCACAAACGCAGGTTCAGATAAGTACAAAATTGAATTAGGGTACTTGTTTACCTTACAATTATGCCATTAATGTTGGTGTCAAATCTTCAAACATTTCAAATCATGACATTGACATGATATATCTGAATTTAACGGTAACGACAAGAGTGACATAAAAATTGATCTGAAAATTTTCAACAAAAAATCGATTCAAAACAGTATTAGAATCCGCGACATTAGTCTGACGAAATAAATATCTTGAAGTATTGAGTAGTGCCTAGGACTGATTCTTATAGACCACCAACAATCTAAAATTTTCAATTGTTCTGATTTTATTCCGTGGAAAATGGAGAACGAAACAAGACTAGTTGTTTAAGATTTTCATACAGGGAATGAACATGTGTATGGCCAAAAATAAGGTTATCTACGATTACCAAGAAACGAAAAAATACTTGAATAAAGATAATGGTCAGATAATGTTAGCGGGAAGAAGGGAACAAGGCTGATGCATATGTATCTATAGAGAATTCGTATTTGATAATATTTATCTCTTTCAGACTAAAGAACCTCAAATCTTTGACATGGGTTTTCGAAAGACACCACCCGATAACATTTACTCGTCAGATGTTTTTTTATATTTGAAAGATGACGGTGAACTGGATTTTGAAGATATCAAGTTTTACTTATTCCACATCAGTATAATGGTAAGAACACAATCAATATAAAAACAACATTTATTCCACTACTGATTTCAGGATGGAGGGGGAAATATTCCTACAAATCCAGAAACACTTGCCTTTATTAATGTTGGAGACATGAGAGATACCAAACCAGAGTGGACAACTATGATAGGTTTCGAGCAATTCAATGAACAGGAAGAAAAAGTAAATATAATTAATTTCTGAGAACACATTCGTTTGGATTGAAATGAAAAAACTTGTATGGATCTTGAAGTTGTTTCGTTGCATGATATATTTTTCTCTTTCCATCATTACTTGATGAGTTGTTTATCATATCATTCATACTTCTGACTGAATAGGTATTTTTGATGTCATTTTGGTAGGTAATATGTCTTCGTCCTAAATCCGAAAAATCCTGGGCCTGAGAAAGAAAACGTCACATAATCATTCCAGGGCTTTATCATTTCAATACCACTTTTGTGGTATGATTCATCTTTTAACCCAAAATAGGCCTCAGTTTCAGCAATTACCTCTTCATTCGAGCGAAATTTCTTACCGGTGAGAATTTTTTTGACGTCTGCAAAGAGCCAGTAGTCGCTGGGAGCCAAATCTGGCAAATATGATATATGTGGGAGCAATTAGAAGCCCATTTAATGCAATTTTGCCATTGTTTTCATTGATTTGTGACACTGTACATTGTCTTGCTGATGCAGCACTTTTTTTCTGCTAATGAGGTCGTCTGTCTTCAATTTCGGCCTTTAAACGCTCCAATAATAATATTCACCGTGAATGGTATTTTTTATCAAGATAGTCGATGAATATCACACCACGCACATCCCAAAATACCGAGGCCATAAACTTTCCAGCCGATCGTTATGCTTTCGGCCGTTTTGGAAGAGGTTCACCAGTTACTCTCCACTCAGATGACGATTTTTCGATTCCGGAGTAGATTGATGATCCCATGTTTCATTTATTGTCATATATCAAAGCAAAAATTCCGGTTTGCTATTTTTTAACATGGCCAAATTCTGCTCAGAATCATCAATACCTTCTTGTTTTTGATCAAATGTGAGCTCGCGCGGCACCCACTTTGAACAGAGCTTTCTCATAGTCGAATGCTCATGTAATATAAAGCCAACACGTTCTTTTGATATCTTTATAATGTCAGCTAATTCACGCAACTTCACTTTTCGATCATTCAAAACGATTTTATGGAATTTATTTATTGTTTCTGGTGTTACAAATGAAACTACTTTACTACTATCACCCGAACAGTTTTGTGATAGACTTCGTACGTGTTGAAAGTGTTTCTCAGAGTGTCTTATTAAAACAAATTCATTTGTATCAGCTCGTTTATTTCAAATCTTATACTTGGATAATATCGTGTGTATTGAGTTCTTTGAAACTACAAAGTGATGTCTAGTGTAAATGGGGGTGAACCCCCCGAACCACCTTCTAATTCAACCCCTCCTCATGTGTCAACAAATATTGATACAGTATCACCAATAATAGGTAACAATACTATTTCTAATATGAAAAGAGCAGAAAAAATTGCAGAATACGTCAATAGAAAAGGCGGATTAAAACCTCTCGACGAAAACCAACAAAAAATAGGTAATGAAAACATACCAAAACAATCGATTGATAGGTACAGTATGTCGGATATAGGACCATATCAAATTTATGTGGAGAATAATAGCGATGATTTTCGTGGAAGACTCAATGCTGTAAAGGTAGGCGATATAATTCTTTCAAATTTTCCTGAAGTGGATAATAAGATTATTAGCTTAGACTCGATAAGAAGAAACAGAATCAGAATAAAATAAAAGATTACTAATCAGCAAATAATCTTATTGATCAAAAAAATTCACCTAGTTTGAAAAACAATAATTTGGATTTATCTATTCCCAGATTCATTGTCGTACGGCAAGGGGTTATTAGGGATGTAGATACCGTTTTTTCGGAAGAATATATTAAAAACAAAATCAAACCATTTGATATGCATTGCAATTTTCAAGTCGAGAATGTTAGACGAATGAATAAAAAAATTACAAAAGGCGATAAAACAGAATATGTTGCTACAAAATTATGTATAATTACTTTTAGAAGTCAGGTACTCCCAAAATATATTTCAATTAATAGAGTGAGAATTGAAGTTGAACCCTACATTCAAAAAGTGTTATTATGCTATAACTGTTTTCGATATGGGCACTTAGGAAAACAATGTAAGAGTAAACCACGCTGCATTCAATGTGGCGAACAGCACAGTTCTTCAGACTGTCAAAATTCTAATCCCGATCCAAAATGTTTCAACTGCGGTGGATCCCACTTAAGTACAAATATAAAAATATGTCCGGAATTCAAAAGGCAAAAACAAATCAAACAAGTAATGTCAAACCTCAATTGGTCCCAATATCGAGATACGCTTGATTCAATAGAACCTGCTCCTTATTATCATCAGCTTATAGAAATTATTAATTTTGCCGCTTCGCAGTCTATACCAAAAAATAAAAGTTCCAGAAAGACCTCTCCACATTCTCCAAAACTATGGTGGAATGAGGAATGTGATGCAGCAGTAACTAACAGGAGAGAAGCATACATTCGCTTCAAACACAATCCTAATAAGTTTAATCTATTGGAATATAAAAAAGCAGATGCAATTTCCAAACGAATTTTGAAACAGAGGAAAATAAGTAGCTGGCAAGCTTATTGTGAAGGTTTCAAGAGAACAATACTTATGAGAGACATCTGGTAACGTGTAAACAGATTTAAGAATAGAAGAATGGGTAACGTATCTCTAATAGATCCTGAAGAGGAATGGCTAGACAAATTTCATAATAAAATAGCTCCTGACTCAGTTAATCAGATGTTCCTTACAACGCAAGTAGATCAACGTGATCATGAACATAGCCATCTATCGAGAAACATTGAAATGTGGGAATTGAATAAGACTTTGAAACACACACATAACACTGCCCCAGGCAAGGACAATATTTCATACTTCATGCTATCCCACATGACAGAACCACACAAAAAATCCATTCTAGACATTTTTAATCAAATATTGAATAATGAAATACCTATTCCTCATGAATGGAAAGACTACTTGATTCTGCCGATTCATAAACAAGGAAGAACTAAAAATGATGAAAATTATTATCGACCCATTTTGCTTGCTTCTTGTATATTGAAAACTTTCGAAAGAATAATAAAGAACAGATTGGAACATTGGTTAGAACGAACATCAATATTACCTGCATCTCAATATGGATTTAGACGAGGCAGATCTACCCAGGAAGCAGTTTCTCAGATCGTTATGGATATTCATATAGGATTTACGGAAATTAAAACCACTACAGCAGCATTTTTAGACATTCAAGCAGCCTATGATAATGTTCAGTTGAAATTACTTTTTGAAAAACTTGTAGAAACCAAAATTCCAAAAAATATATGTTACCTTCTGGTTATGTTGTTTTCAGAAAGACAAATATATTTGAAAATTGGCGAAACTATTTCTATTCCTCGTAAAACATCTTTGGGAATGCCCCAAGGAAGCATTCTGAGTCCTCTTCTGTATATATTATATACAAGAGACTTAGAAAAATGTATTTAAATAGACTCTCAGATAATACAATATGCAGATGACATTTGCATATACACACAAAATTTGTCTTTTGAAAAGTCACTTGAATACTTGGCGAGAGAGATGAAAAATGTAAATAAGTGAATGGACAAAAACGGATTGATGATTGCGGAAAAAAAGTCAGAGATTTGCATATTCACCAGAAAATGAAGCATCCATCTACACTGCAGAATTGAATGCCATACTTTTGGCAATGCAATATATTCTGACACAAAACAGCATTCATTCAATAATTTTCACTGATAGCAAAAGTGCCGTGGATCGACTGAAAAATTTCCGAAATCCTAATCAATTTTCTGAAATGGAAATCGCCAGAGCCCATAAATCAATTCTTTTACAAAATGAGAAGATATCTATAATTTGGATAAAAGGACATTCCGGAATAAAAGGAAATGAGGTAGTAGATAGATTAGCAAAGCAAGCCACTGAAACAGGAGAAGAGTCCATTGACACCTTTATTCCACATACCGATTTGAATCGAATTTACAAGAAAGATTTGAATGAAATTTGGCAAAATCAAGTCAATGAATCTCGGACAGGCAAAAACTTCAAACAACTCTTCCCAAAGATTATTGGAAAGAGATGGTTTGAACAAGAGAGCGACAAAAAATACAAATTCAAAATTGGATTAACAGATAATCCTCTTATGGCGATCTCAATCACATCATATTGGAGTGTTCGCACCACATCCTCAGTATAAATACCCTTTACTCTGAATTGAAATTTCATAATATCTTTTTTCCAATTAACTTAAATTGTATGTTAACTTCAAACAACAGAAATATATACAAATTATTATACAATCATCTAATAAGATGCAAAATTAAAGTATGAATGATTGATTGTAAATATAGTTATAGTACTACTAACAATATATTCAAATGTAAACAGAAATTGAATCATATTATGTACAAACGCATTGTGACAAATGTGGATATTAATAATCGAAAAACTTCAAAATAGTGTAGTTTGATTTGGATTTTATTATTATTTTATTCATCATCGTGTTGCGGTTTTGTAGACTGTCCAGTGAAAACCAAACAATAAAATGTTTCTTGAATATTTTTTATCATAATTCCTATTCATTTTCTGTTTTTTTGTACATTATCGACAACTCACTTTTCGATGATTTGAGTTAGTGAAGAGCTTCCAAGAAAACTAGAATTTTTCGAAATATTCATATAATCAAAAATCCAATCAAATACCTGCATGCTTTGTTTCATGGTACGAGAAAATAATTCATTTAAAAAAGGAAGTATATTGCCAATGTATTTAGATGAAAAATAATTCACATAAAGTGAGTCGGCATACTTGGAGACTGGCTGTAAATGAAATTATCCAAAAAACAATTGGTTCAGGCCAGTATCAACTTACCTACACCTACCGGATATAATCCAACGCCCTTCGTAGTATTAGCGAGAGTAGTAGTTGTTTCCTGATAGATGTCAGTTCATTACCATTAACCTGTGAGTAAGTTGAGACTGGCCTGGAGGAATTATTCTTTTAGATAATTTGGTGAACTAATTCATTAAATCTAGTGCATCTAGTGTTTTTGGTAATGAAGTCACATCTATCAGTCATCTGAATGTAATCAAGAGTTTGCAAGAGTAACAATTTTATGGTGAAATTACGTTAATGACTTCTCAAGCATTACAGATGATGTAAGGTGTGAGGTATAGGAACATATAATTAAAGTATGACTAGTATTGATTCAATGGTGTTATTTTGGGATTGGAAGTACTCATGCATATGAATCTATAAGGCCGAAAGATCTCATCATCTAGATACAAATGATATCATATCAATGCACGTTGTGATAGAAAGACCAAAAGACCCGGTCATAACACCTTGGTTAACTAATTCATTAATTCATCCCTCTATCAGATCATACCAAACTGTTTTCCTAACAATTATTACTCGTCTATTTTTACATTCCCCACTCATTGTGTATTTCCTTTCTTTGAAAGGGTCTTCAGTCATTCCCCACTCATTGTGTATTTCCTTTCTTTGAAAGGGTCTTCAGTCATTCCCCACTCATTGTGTATTTCCTTTCTTTGAAAGTGTCTTCCATTAGGGACTTCCGAACTTTCACAGTTGATAACGGCCATCTTGTTGAAGTTACATCTGTCAAATTAGTTGTCAGTTATTCAATCTGTTTTGCCAAATCTCTATGGACGGATATAAGATTCCAAAACACGTGCAAATAATAAAATTGTTTAATCGAAATTGTTGTTCTGTTCGGGCAACGTACCGCGCTCTTCGTCCATTTTACGGTCGACATAACCGTCCTACCGAGAAAACCATTCGCAATGTGGTGGATAAATTTTTACTGGTTCAGTAAATGATCGACCAACACTCGTACGTTGACAAAACGCAAGACCTGTTGAAAACATCGCTACTGTCTGTGAGAGTGTGCAACAGAATCTAAGGCAGACGATTTCGTGTCGCTTATAATAACTCAGCCTTTCTCAAACCACAAATTGGCGAATTTTCATTGTGACTTGGGTCTGCACCCAGGAACTGAGCGTAAATGACCATACAAAATAACGTGTGTTCGCTTAATGGACTCTGGAGCAATTGGCAACTGCCCCTTATTCTCATCGAAAAATCATATTCAGCGATGAGGCCCATTTCTGGATGAATGGGTACATAAACAAACAAAATTGTCGTGTATATCGAGAATTATTGAACTATCGTAGAAGTAACTGACATAAACTTCTCTACATTGATCTGGTTTCTCGGATCTACGATGTTTTGGTTCTGATAATCTCTCGCGCAAGTTTCGTTTATTCACTGATCTGATAAGCATCTGATCGTTTTTTTTAAGGACAAAACACAAGCACCACAGGAAAATCCTTGAGGCGCTCTGAAAGCATTGCCTGTGCGAAAGTAACGATCCATATTGGATTTGAATCGCTGGAGATTGAATTCATTTCGTTAAACGTTTTCAGGAAATTTATTTCACATAAACGCAGTTCTCCAAATGAAAGAGTTCTTAAATAGTGGAGTTTGAGGTGTATTGAGTTGAACGTCAAAACAATGAGCAGCCATAGACCGTCGCGTGTTTCTGATATGTACCGGTCTTGGTGGAATCAAATGTGCCAAGTCACTTAAAAACCCACGTAAAAGTATCTATAAAAGAGATACAAATCTCCAACCTTTCTTCGATGTTCCAGACTATCAAGGTTGCAAGTGGTGCAACTTCAGGGTATGCTTAGGAGCGGAGATCCAAAAATGAGAACAATACTCCAAATAAGTTTTGAGCTGAGCTTCATGAAGCATCAAATGTTGCTGAGGTGTGTACATTTTTCTCGTTCGAAACAGTGCTTTTGAGAAGCAACATTTGCAACTCCAGCGACATGATTGTGCCAAGACATATTGGTGTCTATTTCAACCCCCAAAAACTTATCGAAGCAGAAAGCGGAATTGTCTGTCCTGACATTAATATATACGGTTTGGAGACATTTATCTATTTGGAGGAAACCGATGCCTGAGTTTTCGTGTCATTGAATTGAACCTGGTTACTTTCACCCCAATTCGAAATTATAACTAGATCCTCATTAAGATATGCAACCTCCTGCTGCCGGTGAAGAAGTGCATCCATAGCCGATTTCCAGGAATCTAAATGGAATGTCGAGACAAGAGTGTTGTCGTCAGCAAAGCAATATATTGAATTACTGATTTTTTTCAATAAGTCATTGATATACAATAAAAAGAAGGTTGAAGAGAATATGGGTCCTAGGGGAACACCAGCGTTGATGTTAAAAGTATTCTTAAGATATCCATCGACGGTCACTTGCAAGGAACTTTCTTTCAGAAAGCTGGAGAGCAATATACAAAATGATCTAACAATCCATGGAATCAAATTTTGGCCAGAAAACCTTTATATCCTTTAATCCTATGCCCAATATATTGTTCTTGAGAAAGGCTGCTGCCTTCAGAAGAACTCTCATCTACTTTTCCATGTATGATATGCATTTCTTGATTGACGGAATGCAACTTTCTCAATTTCAAAACCGAGTGCGTATATACACGTTCTATGATATTTTCTTTGCATTCTAATTAAATTTCGGCTTTTTCTGTTGCTTCAAAATTGTGAGCAGTTAAATGTGTTTCTATTGGCTTTTATTTGAACACCTTTTTGTTTTCTCCAATATCAAGCTATGTTCTAACGGGTTTTTTTTCCGTTTTTTCAACATTCTACAGCATTTACCGATCTTCTTTTCTGCGAGACTTTTCTCTTGCCGAGATTCACCTGAAACTGATTCACACATTCTCTTGATATTTTCAAATTCATTGGAGTTACCTCAGCAATTTTTTTTGTAGGTCAATTCAAAACATTGAAATACTTTTAGGTTACTTTTCAAATGAACACGTGTTCCAACAAGTGTTGCCCACCTTTACACTTGGCTGCACCGCGCTGATGATGTACAGTATTTTCCATTTTTTTTTTGTTTATTTAGTTGCCATTCTTTTTTTTTCAGACGTTCGTTGTGAAAGCAAGAGACGGAGATGTAGGCTTGAATAAAGATATCAACTATAGAGTGATATCACAAGATGATGAGGAAGGTGAGTTCTGTTCATATTTTTATATGTAACTCTCAGAATTGTCAATGGAGCTATCAATTCTGATAATTGTGAAATCATATGAACCAAGTTTTGTTTCGAAAAATGCCATACATAACATATCTTCCTATTTACTCAAATACAAATTCATTTTCTAGGTAAGATATACAAATAAAATGTGGAAATGGAGATTATTCATATTTCAGTATTGTCATTTGTATCTGTATCTGTAGAGTAGGGAGGGTGAGTGTAGGTCTACAGCACTTAGGCCACATGTGACCCATTGTACAACTTCCCAAAGAGTTGCCCTCCTGAGTTATCGTCCATCCTGTCCTTTCCAAGAAGGTGGACAGGTCTCTGGGACACATCTCCTTTATATCGGCAGGTGTAGGCCAAGACTAGCCGAACACACACTCTCTTATTGACGGTAACTCCGGACATTCGCATAGGACATGCCTGATAGTTTCATCTTCCTGTTCACACATCCTGCATAGAGGTGTGTCCACTAGCCACATATTGTGGAGGTGTTTCCTCAGTTGACAGTGAACAGTCAGAAATCCTACTGTTAAGCGTAGATTTTTCCTGGTCATCGCCAGATATTTCTACGGCGCCAGCTTCTCAGGGTCGCCAAGGGTGATCCTGGCAAGATTGCATCCTTTCAGTATTGTCATATATCGAATGGATATTTTGAATCTGTGTGCTGATTTTTTGGGACATGAAGATATAGTTGCTTCAATATTCTCTAGAATATTTTAGTTTACGGAAATAAATTGGAAAACGGGCGTGATGAACAACATATTTCTTTTAAAAGCATCAGAAAAATGTATCAATACTTAATGCCTTCTCTATGTTTATTTTTGTCTATTCATACAGATATTGATGCTTTTTTGTATCGACCTTTTTTGGGTATTTTCACCTTCCACAATCTGAAAAATATTTCAAAAATATTAAAATGGATCACCTTATACAGGTGTAGAAAGGGCAAACTTTTCAGTTTACCCCGATAAGTTACTACGTAAAATTTTTCACAAAGAAAAATGTTTCATTTATCAGTAACTTGTATTCAATAATTTTGCCTATTGTAAGAAATAGTACAATACTTATCTTAACGTTTCGGAGGCCAAAATCTGCTTCCGACTTCCGAAATGGAGAAAATTCAAATATATATTTTCCTTTGCTGATTGCTGTTTTTTAGTTCACGATTCGACAGATGTCGAAGGAATCACGAAATCATATTTTTCAGATTGTGAAAGGTGAAAATAATCAAAAAAGGTTGATATGAAAAACTGATTTTCCTCCACAAAAAATGACTTTCTTTCAACATATTGATCCTATTTGAGTATATGTCAAAAAATGAATTTTTTGTCGTAGATGAAAGGTTTACCTTATAGAGGGTAGTAAAATCTTTGATTTCATTGTTTTTTATTAATATTTATCATTGCTGATTCTAGAAAATATATAGGTAATTTCTAAAGCTGTATACAATCTGTTCCCTAGTATTTCTCCAAATGGAACTATTAGTGTTGTAGAAAATATATTAGACGAAAGTTCTATCAATCATTTTTACTATAATTCCAAAATAGTAGGCACTTAATTCTCAGAAATGACTGACGTTTTTGCGCTAATCTGTCACTTGCAGTGTCGTTCGGAAATTATACTAAACAGATGAGGAAAAATTATGCTAAAATATATGGCAACAATATGCCAACAATGTTTTCGTTTTAATAGTATAATATTTCTCAGAATGTAGCGCCTACTACTGCCTGTAGTAATACAAAAAATATTAGTCTTGCTGAGTGCGGGTTTGTCACAAAATTATTCACAGTTTAACGACGTGTTGTTTTATACATTTTTTAAAAATACCATAATGGAAAACCTTCCAAATATCCTTTCGCTAAAAAATTTCATGGAGGATATGGAATGAAAAATATAGAATAACTTGAATTTACAAAAACGGTATGCTGAACATGAAAGGTCCTTCAGACTAGCAAAAAATGATTCGACGTTTTCGAACCATTCCTTGGCATGCAACCACAAGTTCCCGAATTTAAACGATACGGAAATTTTGCACTATGCAAGAAAGGGTTACAAACTTAATTATTTAGAATCCTTGAAAATTCACGAGAATAAACATTGCGGGTGCAACCTGTTAAATGATCAAATCGATTCAGTATACTCGCTCGTTTTCAAATTACCACATCCGCATTGTAAATTGTAAATTCAGGTACTCAATCAAGCCAAGTACCTCTAGTATTATCTACAGGGGTGCTATAATAAGGACTAATGTAAAAAACCATTGTTAGTTTAATGTATAAGTTTGAAAACGTCCTCATAGGACGAAACTACAGTAACGTTAGTTACAAATAAAATGGGCAAAAAACGTAGAAAGTTTCAATTCTCTTTTCTTCATTATGATTTCCTACCACGTACGGCTACATTCATCAATTTACACATTAACCTGCTTTTGAAAAATTGTTTGTATTGGTATACTGGTAGATATAACGAACACATTTTAGTATATTAAACAGGAACGAATAGACAACTGAATAGGTTATTTCAATTCATCGATTATTTTCGCATATTCATCACATTCGATATAGAGATAGATAAAAATGATTGTACGAATCCAAAATGACAAAAATAAACACGATTTTTGAATTTATGGTAAATTGGCATTCACAGATATTAATTCATAATTATTCCACCCATCCAAATCAAGATGAAGAATCAGTTGAATATAGAATGAAGAAAATAGCTTTCGTCTGATTTCCACTACGATTTTCATTTCTTACGACCGGTTCCAGTTTGTTAAACCATTTTCAAGTGAACTGAAGTATTTTTCACAAACACATTGTTAGAAATACAATGAAATAGTAAATGTGCTTTTGATACCTGCAATAGGTACTTGAAATAAGAAAATATTATCTGAAATATCAATACCAAAACAATAAATATTCAGAAAATAACCAACTATTGATCTCAAAAAATATACTTGTGGATTGGTACAACTAACAATGATCCTAACCTAGTTGTCAAAATTCACAAATTCAAAAAGGAAGAGCTGCATAGTTCTAGTTGGGCATTGAGGATTTTCGAATTGGTGTTTTTATACAGTTTATTCATTTCCAATGCTTGCAACAAATTCATCTCTCTTCCTTTATTGTACGTATGTAGGATTTTCAAGTTTTCTTCATTCATTGTGTGGTTCGTTTTTTGTAGATGTTCATATATAGCTGATTTTCTATCTATGGATTGGTAGTACTACCAATGATCCTAACCTTGTTGTCAAAATTCACAAATTCAAAAGGGAAGAGCTGCATAGTTCTAGTTGGGCATTGAGGATTTTCGAATTGGTGTTTTTATACAGTTTATTCATTTTCAATGCTTGCAACAAATTAATCCCACTTTCTTTATTGCACGTATGTAGAATTTTCATGTTTTCTTCATTTATTGTTTGGTTTGTTTTTTGTAAATGTTCATATATAGCTGATTTTTTATCTGATGATACATGCTCACGATATCTCATGTTGAAATTCATGCCTGTCTACCCGATTTTTTCCACTTATCTCTTTTGGGTTTTGCGTTGAATATCATGTTCCCTAAAATATCCCCACTAGTAAATAATGTTATTATTTTGACTTTTGAGAAATAGATTTCATGTTTTCGTAGAGCTTTCTCACAAAAATAGAGTATATATAGATTAGAATGTATAGGCTGCTGAGTAGTCACCACATTCTAGTCCATATATACGCCCAATTTTTTCCTCTTATTCCTTATTTGTTTTTCGTTGAACATCATGTCCCCTAAATTATTTCCACTAGCAAGTGATATTATTATTTTGAGTATAAAGAAACAGATTTTTTTGTTTTCGGAGAGCTTTCTCAAAAAAAAAAATCGAGCATATATAGATTAGAATGTATAGGCTGCTGAATAGTCACCACATTCTAGTCCATATATACGTCCAATTTTTTTCTCTTATCCCTTGTGGGTTTTGCGTTGAGTATTATGTCCCCTAAATTATTTTCACTAGTAAGTGATATTATTATGTTGAGTATTGAGAAACAGATTTTGTTTTCGGAGAGCTTTCTCAAAAAAATTTCGAGTATATATAGATTAGAATGTGGTGACTGTTCAGCAGCTCACACCAGGCCAGACAGGCAGAAATTTCAACATAAGATAAAGTGAGCATGTATTATCAGATGAAAAATCAGCTATATATGGACATCTACAAGAAAATAACCATACAATAAATAAAGAAAACATGATAATTCTCCATAAGTGCACTAAAGGAAGGGAGATAAATTTGTTGGCAACATCGGAAATAAATGAACTGTATAAAAACCCTCAATGAACAACTAGAACTATGCAACTCTTCTCTTTTGAATTCGTTAATTTTGACAACTAGGGTAGGATAATTGGTAGTTTTACCAATCCATAAGTATAGTTTTTGAGATCAATAGTTGGTTATTTTCTGAATATTTATTGTTTTGGTATTGATAATTCAGGTAATATTTTCTTATTTCAAGTACCTATTGCAGGTACCAAAAGCACATTTACTATTTCATTGTATTTCTAACAATGTGTTTGTGAAAAATACTTCAGTTCACTTGAAAATGGTTTAATAAACTGGAACCGGTCGTAAGAAATGAAAATCGTAGTGGAAATCGAAAGCTATTTTCTTCATTCTATATTCAACTGATTCTTCATCTTGATTTGGATGGGTGGAATAATTATGAATTAATATCTGTGAATGCCAATTTACCATAAATTCAAAAATCGTGTTTATTTTTGTCATTTTGGATTCGTACAATCATTTTTATCTATTTTTATTGTTTTGGTATTGATAATTCAGGTAATATTTTCTTATTTCAAGTACCTATTGCAGGTACCAAAAGCACATTTACTATTTCATTGTATTTCCAACAATGTGTTTGTGAAAAATACTTCAGTTCACTTGAAAATGGTTTAATAAACTGGAACCGGTCGTAAGAAATGAAAATCGTAGTGGAAATCGAAAGCTATTTTCTTCATTCTATATTCAACTGATTCTTCATCTTGATTTGGATGGGTGGAATAATTATGAATTAATATCTGTGAATGCCAATTTACCATAAATTCAAAAATCGTGTTTCTAACAATGTGTTTGGGAAAAATACTTCAATTTACTTGAAAATGATTTAACAAACCGGAACCGGTCGTAACAAATAAAAATCTTAGTAGAAATCAGACGGAAGCTATTTTCTTTATCCTATATTCAATATGAATTTCTACAAAATAAATAGGTCATCAATCGTACAAGACAAAGTATTAAAATTTAACAGTCTGATCCACAAACAGTCAAAGTTGCTTTGTCTGATTCAAAGTTCAATAAAGGAATATATGTAATAAAACGAAGAGCGGTCAACATTTGTTATGATACCAATCGTATATTCTTAATTGTTCATAAAACATTACAGTCAAGTCATAAAAAAAATTATCCGATTCTAAGAGACGAGGATAAAAATAATAAATACTCATGCACTTTGAAAATAGTTTGTATAAGAGTTTGGTCAATTTCTGCTTGGTCTTTCCAATTATTCAAAAAGTGATTTATCAACTAATGTTCATTATTCTATTTCAGCTAAGTACGTTAGTGTAAATAAAGAAAATGGAACCATCCACGTCAGTCCGATAGATAGGGATAAAAACGATATTCTCACGTACAACTTCGAGATAGCAGCTTATGTAGCCGAGGAACCAGACTGGGAAACAAATAATACTATTACTTTTTATATCACAGACATTGATAATAATCCTCCGATAATTGAATATATAATCGATCGAAATAATGAGACAATACCATTTGAGAAGAATTCCAAGAAAACGATGAGTATAAGTTTTTTGGAAAATTACAATGGCGGACTGAATACTACTATTTTCATTCAAGATATTGATGCGGTAAGTGGAAAATAGAACAGATTGAAGGTCATAAATGATCATTATGAAATAAAAATTAGAAAGAAAATATATCCCCTCATTAAATTATTTTACAAAATTAAAAACTTTATACCTTTCAAATTTTAAAAAATATATATTTCAGTCTCATTTATTCACATTTGCACTCTCTTATGTCTGTTTGGGGAACAGCAAGTAAATCTATAATCAAACCTCCGAAAAAAAAAACATTTGGAACCATATTTGGAACCAACATTCAACTCATATAAACCAAACTATCTATTAGACATCACTCTGTTAACTCAAAATCAGCTGCTTCCTTCATTTCTGTTAAAAATAATACAAAGATATGAAACTTAAATTTTACTCGAATTTGACATCGCAGTCATGCCACAAGACAAACCAAATTACTGTCAAAAACTAATATACAAACAAATTTTGGAAAAAAGTAGATATATCACGATGGGATCATTATATATAATTCACTTCCGGAGAAAATAAAGAAGCACTATTCTATTACAAAATTTAAGTATCCATTAAAAAAAGATCTAATTAGTGGAATTTCATAGTTTGCATTTTATTCCTATCACACTTGAATTCCTTTTCAATATATACTTTTTGTAACCAATTTCATCATTTGACGGCATTTCAATATTTTTTTTCAAGATATGTTATGTGTTCATTGTACAATATCTTATTTCTGTTATTTTATTATACTTTGTAGTTAGTTATTGTCCAGTGTTAGGTATCACACGTTGAAAGGTAAGACCTCGTTAGTCCTTAGCTCGCACAAGGTTCGAGTTCTAAGTGTTGTCGTTCGTAGGAGTACGATAACTGGTTGACGGAAAAACATATTTTAAACAAACAACATAACATAACATCAGCATTTATTGTTTCTTGAGACAATAAACTGAATTGAAATTCAAAAAAAACTTATATAATTTAGTACACATTGAAACAGCGAGGATTCCCTCAAGTGTTTTGGAACACTTACAATATTTCTCGAATTGAATTTATCAAATTATCTCAATTTTGAATCAGTATAAAAGATATGAAAGATCACACAAATACTATACGAATATTATGAAGAGAAAAGATTTGATAGTTTTTTAATTGAAGAGGTTATATTTTTAGGAGTGATTAATTTTTGGGAAAGAAAGTTTTTGGCTTTTTACTACTCCATCTTGATACAAAAAAGAAGGATGAGGGAATCTTCCACAACGAATGTTTGAAATACAAACTGAGTAGAGAAAAGTATCTTCTGTATAATTCACTGTTCATATAGAAGTATTTGTTTCGAAAGAATTTTTTCTTTCGTGTAATTCAATGTTTATATGAAAGTAGCTGTTTCAGGAGGACTTTCTTTCAGTTTGTGTCTGAAAGTTACTTCTTTGCATGATCTACACATCCATGTATAGAGTTACTTATTTTAAAATTGATTACTTCCTTCCTTTCCGTGGAAGATTCCCTCATCCTTGTTTTTTGTATCAAGATGGAGTAGTAGAAAGCCAAAAACTTTCTTTCCCATTTGATATTATGTTCATAATGAATAAACTCAGAATCTACATTTTGACTTGAAAAATTCAGGCATCTGTAGAAAATTACATTGTAGTGACGATATTTTATGTTTTGTATTCAGAAGATTCAGAGATCTCCTTGAAAATTGCAATAATATAACCTAATGCAGAAAAAAATTACCTCGAAAAATCATTCAGCAAAAACAACAGTAAAATAATATACTTATTACAAGTGTATGGTACTCATTACCCTCAAAAAAGTCCGCGCGTCTATACAGGGCGTTCCAACGAAAACCTCCCCTGTATTACTAATTAAATACATTCTACAAATCTAGAAGACCTGCCAGAGAGAATTGTTCGGGAATCCCGCTTGCTGACTCCGGACATCTTGAATAATGTACGAAACACTTTCGAGAGTAGACTGTATTATTGTAAGGAACTAGGTGGAGGTCATTTTGAACAATTTATCCGTTGATTTTGTTTCCACTGAAATTATTCGTTGTTGATCTTCTCGTTAAAATGAACGACAGCGAATTTTCTGAGTTTTCTTAAATAAAACGTTAAACATTCAATTTCTCAATAACGAATGAACCAATTTCGTAAAAAATCATGGAGGTAATAGAGGGATGAAAGACCTTTCAAATGATATATCACTTGACCCCTCATGTCATTGAGAAAATAGAGGGGGTAATTGCTGAACGCAGGGGAGTGAAGTTTTGGGTATGATTTTCACATCAGAATTAGACCCCCTAGAAATAAAAATTGACGTGTTCTTTGAAATTTTCGATTACATGTTCGTTTCTGACTCAAAGGGGGGATTGGAAAGTTTAATTGGAATGCCCTATATGTATCTAACTATTATAGTTCAGTCAGAATAATCTATTAGTTCATATTGGTGGAGTTCTTGTTCGTTGAAATCTCTACTTTCTGAGAGTGTAAGAAAATATACTATGGTAAATATTCTCCGAAAGTACAAAAAACGAACGAAAAAACTCTATCCAGAAAGCGAAAAACACTTGGATCAAAAAACGTTTTTTTCAATCATTATGTTCAGTTTTGAACTATTTATTAAAATTAACACTTCAAATATTCGTATCACGTAAGATTCCATGTCACATTGATAAACAAAAAATTGCAGATCCATAAATATTAAGATTGCAAAAAAACATGCGAAAATAGTTGTTTGAGGGAAATTTCATCTAAAAAATGTGACTGCTACAATTTCGTTTCAGTAAAGAAGCTAGTTTATTGAATTCTGATAACATTTTTGCCATAGATTCGTGCTTTTGTTACTGATCATGTTATCCATTCATTATAATATATTTTAATACATCAGTTTTAGTCTCTTTGATGGCATTCCTTTGTCGTCAGACTCGACAAACTTTTCCGACTCTAGCAGATCTTCGAAATCTTCAAGACCATCACCATCTTCGTCTTCGATATTATTTCCATCCACAATTTCATCTGAATCATTAACACCCTCGAAGGCTTCTTTTTCACATTAGAGCATTTTTTATAGCCATGACAATTTGAGCATAAATTTGTGCATTTTAAACCATGTTTTCGGCAGCCACATTTTAAACTGTTACTTACATCCAGTTTCAGAGGAGGCAAGGGATGCTTAGCCTCCCCATAAAATTTGAGGCTATTCATCGCAATAAATTAAAAGATAGTGACAAATAATTAAGATTATTTTTTTCTGAAAATGCTTGGGTATCATAACTTTACCATTGATTTTTAATATAAATACATTATATGCCCGAAAAACTCACTACTACGTAGTACGTACCACACTGTATCCTGCATCAACAAACCTAAAACGCACCGCCCATGAACGAACAATGAATGAACCTTCAACCCGAAATAATAAATGCCATACGTTGCAAGTGAGCCAAGCCTCCGACCGTTTTATAAAACACAAGCTCTGCGAGACCGACCAACCAGCGATATACGTCCCGATTTGTAATTTTAGTTGCAGAAATTATAGCGTTAGAGAAGGCTAGCCTCCAGTTGGTCTCCGTTAGTGTACGATTGCGTTTTATTCGGACGGGATGCCGTGACGGACCGGGACTGAAAAATATTTTGGTAAATCCTTTTAGTGTTTCTTGATAATATTTGTGTATAAAACAGGCAGTATTGTATTATAGCAGTGCTTTTAGGTAATATTTTTAATGTGTTTTGAAGTGTTTTCTTTCAATTTCAAGGTGTTTTCAGGTTTTCACTTTTCGGTAAGTTTTTTTTTTTTCATTTATTATGGATAAGTTGGACGAAATTGAAAAATCTGGCAATATAGTCGATTGGTTGCTGACAAATAATTTTAAGTCTTTATCTTATGATAATAAATTTTACATTATTAAAACTCTGGGAAGGCCGCAATCAAATTTGATTTCAATAAAAGCGTCAGATAATCAACAAAATCGAGGATTTAATATTAGTTGGTACAATCAATGCGATTGGTTAACCGGCTCCATTGAACGAGAAAAACTTTTTTGTTGGCCCTGTGTTTTATTTTCCGTACAAACCGAATACCAAACGTGGTCTAAAATAGGATACTCCGATTTAAAAAATTTACCTCGTTCTACAGAAAGACATTTTGAATCTAAGGAGCATATATTTTCGTCTTGTAAATTAAAATTGTTTAGCAAACAAAATATAGCGACAGCTATATCGTCTTGGTTAAGAACGAATGTTATGTTTACTTTCAGTTTTTTTTTTATTTTTTCCCTTCCTATCCAAAATTATAAAATACACCTTTCAATTCACCTTTCAAAATGCGGGAACCTCGCAGACTATATTGAACTTGAATGACCGCGGAATAAAAGTTTGCGGGTGCCTTGTGAATTCACTTAAACAAACCAGATTCAACTTTCCTTCCTACCCCATTCTTACTTTCCTTTCCTGGCAAGACACGACTCTCACCTCCCCGTTGGTTCTTGATGGACAATAAAATTTACTTTTAGACCTGTTTTTTAAGCATAATTAAGTACTTGTGTTTATAAAATATTTGTAGCAAGTTCAAAACTGTTATATTAGAAGAGAAAAGTATTATTTATTGACTGAGAAGAGTTCATTTATATCAAATAACTCAAAGACAACCCTTTTTCCTTGTTTTTGTTTTTTTAATCGTCAGTTTTATGCGTATAATTTTCGGCAATACACAATTTTTGTTTGCATTTATGCAAATATTTACGTATTTTGCTTTAAATAGATGGGGTACCCCAAAAAATGTTCGCGCCTCCGCCGGGCTTTTCTGTGTTTATATAGTCTTTATGACCCCTGTTTTCCAATGCACGAACCGTCACTGACCCAGCCAAGTATGAAGCTGATAAATATGCCCTGTAACAATGTTCTGTTGCACCTTCTGTGGGTGGGAGATTTGCCGAAATGAAAAATTATTTTTGCCAATTGAAATTTTCGAAATGTTAATTGCTATAGTGTTTCATAATCATTTTCACACTTATAAATAAATTGAATAATTTGTAATCCATTTTTTTCGATACCTTCGTTGTTTTAATTTTTTTATAAAAAGTATTGGTCAAATTTGACTAATTTTTCAGCGTCTAATAATTAATTTACGATACTTTTCTTTCCTTTCCTGGTAAATCCAAATGTTAGTATCGTAATCTGAAAATCAATGGAGAAATGCAACGATATTTTTGAAAGATTCATATTTAAAACTATTAGACGTGGAAAATTGATCTTTCACATTTCCAGAACGTGGCTTAAGAAAATAAATGTCATGGCTTTTTGAATTTGATTTATTCAAAGGGACCAAAAGAACCAAAAGATCAATATTTTGACCCACATCAATAACAGTTTTATTTGTATCACTGACAATTTCTTTCGATATATTAATTATATGACCGTTAGCATCTTCTTTTGCTTGTTTACAGGAAAATCCTTGTCACTTTAATGTTTCCATTAACGTTTTTATTATTCTGTCCTTTCTCTCGTTAGAAATTTTTTTTTCTGCAAACATATTATTTTTGTATGGTTTTGATGATTAAACTCTGAAATATTGTCCGAGGTATTTCTACGACTATGTTCTCCTGTTTCAGTTGAATTAACTGCTGGTACTGTTGTCACAGTAACTGATTTTTCAGTTTTGGGGTACCCATTAAAAACTATATAGCTGCCTGCTGCATAATGTTTTTCTACATAACACAAATATATATTCATAATCTCTTCCACCGTTTCATTTTTTCTGCCGAATTACTTTGTGCAGTAAAAATCCAACGTCGACGATATGCACAATGCCGTCAGAATGCGTTGGTCCATTTACACTCACAAATAATTCGTAGAGCTGAGATTTAACGTCGCGCCCCTACGAACGACAACCCTCAGAAGTCGAAACTTGTGCGAGGATTAACAGATTAAAGGATTAACGAGGTCTTACCTTTCAAGGTGTGATTACTAACACGTATTAATTATGATAAATAGCTCAAAATTCAACATAATGATAAAAAAAAATGTTTGGATTCGTTTTTTTTTTTTGTTTTTTTTTGCATTTTCTGCGGACATTTATCACAGTAACGTATATTTTTTTACACTATCAGAAAGTAGAAATTTCAACGAACCAAAAGGCCGCCAACTTTTTTAAAAAAGCAGATATCTTGACCCATTAATTTTTTATTAAGAATTAGGGTGCTTTTTCGATATTGAATCAAAATAATGTTACATGGATTCTTACGTTATACGAGTAATTAAAGTGTTAATTTCAATAAATAGCTCAAAATTTGACATAATGATTGAAATAACGTTTTTCGATCCGAGTATTTTTTTATTTTTGCATTTTCTGAGAACATTTATCATAGTGACGTATATTTTTTTACACTATCAGAAAGTAGAGATTTCAACAAACAAAAAGCCCACGGACTTTTTCGGAAAAGCAGATATTTTGACACATTTATTCTCGATTGAAAATTAAGTTGCTTTTTAGATATTAAATCAAAATAAGGTGAAAAAATAAATATTTCAAATCCAAAAAATGGCAGTGTGTTTGATACATGACAAGGTAGGTTTCTACCAAATTTGGGGAAAAAAAATAAAAATTAAAAACCAAAAACCGTGTTATTTCAATTATTCACATAAATTTTGGGATTATCTGAAAACAGAGTGGGTACAAAAGTTGTAAATCTTTTTATCACCTACAACTTTTCCATCCAACTTTTCCCATACGACTTGTAGTTTTGCCGAAAATCAAGATAAACCAATTTTTTCTTAAAATCTCACTCCCTCTCTCTTCTCGACCTCAAATCGGTCGTCATTTATTGTTCCTTTCAGTTTCGTTGTATTGTCTTCCTTTCTCCATGGCTTTCATTCTACTATAATTTTTTTAAACTTTTTCAAAGGCTTCAGCACTAGTCAAAGTTACTTTTTCCTATTTAATTGTCTTTATATTACGGTTTAGAATATAAACAATGTTTCATATGACAGAAGAAACGGCATGTAATGTTGATTTACGACTTTATTCAGTTAAACGTCTCCCCACTCAATTTTAGTATCATCATCAAATCTATGGTGATATTACAGACTAATCATTGTCAGTTATGTACTCATAATCAATGCTTGAAAAATTTTCAGGGACAAAATGCTCAATTCACAGTCGAACTGGAAAAAGATGAACACAGTGAATATGACCATACCGTGGCCTTCATTGTAGTACCCAACATTGGATTACGTAACTCATCATTTCTCATCAATGTTTTGAATGTCACATATCTGGACTATGAAAAACCAGGATGGAAGGATATCAAATTCAATGTGAGTTTCTTCAATTTCTAAAAGAATCGCGGATGTTTTCCATAATGATGGCCTCATAAAAAATCAACTTATCTAGATCAGAAGTATATTTTTTTTTCATAAACTATCATTTATTTCCGATTACGACCAAGTAAGAAATTTTGATAGAGAAAAGATTTACTGAACACTGAATTTTTAGTCCTCTGCAATACTGGTGTCGTACAAAAAACACCTCCTCTACGTCAGATGTTCATTTTTTCCTCCGTTAAGTGTCAATTGTCTTCAAGTACGACCAAATGGAAGATATTAATGGATAGATGATGTTCTGAATACTGAAGTTTCAGTCCTTCAAAATTTGCCGTCATAGAAGAAAAAATACTTCCTTCATAACAAAATGACAATTTTGTTTATCGTAAACTGTCAGTTGTTCCTAATTACAACCAAGTGAAAAATATTGATAGGGGAATGATGTACTGACCATATCAGTTCTCCATAATAATTGTGTCATAGAAAAAATACCCCCTCTACGTTAAATGGATAATTTTTCACAAGTTTTTTAATTTGCTTTGTATGTATGTATATATGCATGCCTCAATCGATTAAGCTAAAATTTTGCATATTTAGATCGGCTAACAATACGTAACGCCATTCTTCGTTGAATATGGCGAACCGCCCAAGATATCGATACACCTGCATCACAGTAAAATAATGCATCCACGTGATCCGCCCGGGTTGCCGGGTTTCTTCAACCGCTCTTAGGATGAGATTCTCATCCAATGCGTTTAGTGCTATAGTATCGAAGGATTCGAAGATTCTAGGGGAATTGGATTAGTTATAATAAACGGTCGGAAATATTATGTTCGCTGTTGTTATTATTGTTTTTAGTTTTTGAAGTTGGTTATAAGTAACTCACCACAAAATCCTCTATAATATCCTTAAATTTCGTTTTTATATGAGGACACGCCTATGGCAAAAGAACGAAATTGGCTCCGCACTTCGTTTAGAGGTCACTGAGAACTTTCTGAATTTATGAATGAAAGTAGTGGGAGTGAACTTACTGGTTAATTTTTACTAAGCCTCTATGATATGGGATTAAGGTTGGTGTCAAAATGATGGACCACTTTTTGAGCACACAATCGATATAGATAATGGTGATATAAGAAATGGTTTGCAGAAAATGATACAAACAATAACACGTCACCATAAAACAAATATGGAGTATGACTCAAGATGGCGAACAAGTTTTTCTTGCATGATCATTATATAGGTAACGAATGAAAATGTTCGCTAAAAAAATAATGAAAATAGCATCACTTTGAAACTAATATAGCGTACCAGCCATGAGATTGAACTGTTTTTTCATGTTCTCGTGAATATTATTTGAAATAGTTTGTCCTTATTTGATTCAATCCCAGTCATAGGAATCTTGTTCACATTAAAAGAGTTATATTTTTAGGAGAGATTAATTTTTGGGAAAGAAAGGTTTTGACTTTCTACTTCTTCTTCTTATACGAAAAAATGTGAAAATCTTCCAAAAAAAAAGGAAGAAAGCAATCAATTTCAAAATAAACTCCGGAAAATACACCCATTATCAGAGTAGTTAATTGAAAATTATATGCATTCACTGAAAAAATTCAATATTTAAACCAACCATTACTGCGTCATGTTCGCAAAACACAAATCGGCTGTCTTGATAGAAACTTGAAAGTTAACATAGTTCATCCTAGGAGCTTTGAAAGTCAGATAAAGTAAATAGTATTGACGTGTGTAATTGACATGAGATCAGTTGATCTCTAACGAGAAAAAATGTTGAACTTTTGTTCTTTCTAATTTTTTTCTAGGTCTTGACGAAAGGTGTCTTGGACAAGAAGAAACTAGATAAGATGTCAGTTCATATTGAGTTGATTGATTATAATGATGAAATACCACAATTTCCTGAAGACGAATACACCATTACAATAAAGGAAACAGCGCCAAAGGGACAAAAAATCATACAAGTTTGTGCAACAGATCGCGATGCAGAAGATAAAATTCTAGAGTAAGTATTTATTTGCAAAGTATTCCTCTTCTACTTTTGTCCTGATTGTGAGAAAATAGATATAATTATTATCATAATAGCATCAATAAAACTGTTGATCAATACTTTTGATAAAGCCAGGAATTTTTCTCCACCCTTATACAGATAAATGGCAATGAAAAATGTGACAAATAATTCGATTCGTTGATTACACATTCGATTATTTATCACATTTCATGAGTAGAATTCACTGTATGAATGTAAGATAAACTGTTTGGTTTAATATATTTCATTTCATCCTAATTCCAAGTTTTTTGACTCATCTTGAAATTCCAACGTTAACCTAATTTTTGTGAAATTTTGAGGTTACTCTTTCATGCAAGATAATATCATTTGCAAAACTCAAGAACAGTGAGGTTTCAAAATCACAAATTTAGTATCTATAATGAATTTTTTTGTGAATTTCAGTGAATTCAATACAACATACTAGGTATAAGTAGCGTATTAAAAATAACAAAGACGAGAGTTTGCTGTCACATAGATCAGGAGTTTATAAATTGTCGTGTGGTTCATTCCCGATGGAATGGATCACACTGGAAGAATTTTCCAAGTACGCATAAAAGACCAAGAATTCTACTCATCTCCTTACAGAGGGTCCTTATGAAGTTATAAAGGGTCAAAAGTGCTAAAATTCAGTTTCATCCATTTCAAATTCGTGTTCAGTTGAATTTAACAAAATTATGGCTTTCGTTAAATATTGAAGTAATTTTATCTTTTCCTTTCAGTCATACTCTAGTTGGTTCCTCTCACGTACTAGATATACTCACGATCGACTCAAAAACAGGAATAATATCCGTTAAGTCGGACAAAGCTTTCGATTACGATACCCTCAATCCAGTTTTCGTTCAAGTGAAAGCTACAGATAAAGTGGGGCACAGTGCAACAGTTCCTTTAACAATAAATCTGGAGGATGTCAATAATAAAGCTCCCACAATAAGTTCGGTAAGATATAATGTTTCACAATCCTTTTACAAGACTCATGATTGCAAATTTTCTTTGAAAATTACATATCCCGGCAATGTATAATATTTTGTTATATTCAGCACTATTCAGTTCAATCATTCCTTTGAAAAAAATTCGATACAATTTATTCTCAGCAGCAGTTCATTGACAGTGACATTTCTATCATTACATGAAAAATGCAAACGTGAGTACATAAAAAAAATATGTGTGAAAGCTTTTTCTGTTTTTTTTTGTTGTGATCTGAACTTTTCAAAGTTTATGTTTCGTCTATCTGTATCTGTAGAGTAGAGAGGGTGAGTGTAAGCCCACAGCACTTAGACCACATGTGACCCATTGTACATACTCCCGAGGAGTTGTCCTCCTAGGTCATCGTCCTTCCTGTTCTTTCCAGGAAAGTGGACAGGTCACTGGGAGACATCTCCTTTCTATCGGCAGGTGTAGGCCAAAAATCGCTCTTATTGACGATAACTCCGGGCACACTCACATAGGCAAGATTGCATCCTTTGATTTCATCCCATCTCTTTAGGGATTGAGCATGGGTGTAACATTTGGCTAGTTCCGCAATTGTCGAAGTCATGAGGCCGTAGGTGCCACTGGGTCCTAAAATTCTTAGTCCAGCCGCTTCCTAGGTGAAGAGTCGGCATTGCGATTACCTTTACTCCTGTCGTGTCCTTTAATCCACCTCAGGATAATGTTAATATCTACCGAGGCTTTGGCTAAATCTTGGTGAGACTCTAGTTCTAGCCCTGAGCTTACACGTTGTCTGTTCAAAACTAATAGGACTTGTCTACTGTGAGTGCAGATTGTTATGTTTTTGTCAGAAATTCATTTCCTAGTGTTTTCTTTTGTGGCGATTGAGATACCAGCCAGTTCTGTTTGGAGCGCGCTGGTATTTTTTCTATTCCCCACTTAAACCTTAGGCTTACTGATCTGGAGTACACTCCACATCCTGTGCCTTTTTTGGTTTTTGAGCCGTCTGTATATATGTGTATTGCGTCTGTAGCATCTGAGTCTGTGTTCTGTTTTATTTGTATTTTGTAGGGTTAATTAAACACAAACCTGGGTTCAATTGCATCACCGGTTGCCTGCAGCAGAGGTTGCGCAGTAAGCGCTTCCCGCCATAGGCCCAGCGTCAATTGACCCATTTCTACTTCGAGGTTTGCACCAGCCGTGCGCAATCGTACCATGACCATTAACGCAAACCTCCAGAGGGGTCAGACCCGTAATCAATTCCATTGCCGCGGCTGGTGTTGTTCTCATAGCTTCTGTGAGGTTTAAACAAGCCAGTCTCTGCATTTAATATAATTTTTGGATTGGCGTTGCTTGTGGAACTTTCGGTCCCCATGCAATGGCTCCGTACGTTAACATAGGTCTTATTATTGCTCATAAGCCACATATGCTTTTTTTGTTCTACTCTGTAGGTAAGAGTTCCATGTTAGCTTCCTGTCGAGGATAGTACCAAGGTATTTCACCTCTTCAGAAAAGTTTAGTTTGCTTTTGAAGATTTCGGGAGGTTTTAAGCCCGATAAACTTCTTTTCCTGGTGAAAAGGACCATCTCACTCTTCTTGGGATTGATCGACAGTGAGTGTTCCTTACACCATGTTTCTATTAATTTGAGCCCATCCTGCGCTCTATCGCACAGTGTGTTCACAACTTTGACGGCCTGTAAGATAACTATGTCATCTGCATATGCAATTGTGTAGAATCCATAATTGTTGAGCCTATTAATCAATGTATAATATTTTGTTATATTCAGCACTATTCATTTCAATCATTCTTTTGAAAAAAATCGATTCAATTTATTCTCAGCTGTAGTTCATTTACAGTGACATTTCTATCATTATATGAAAAATGCAAACGTGGGTACATAAAAAAAATCTGTGTGAAGTTTTTTTCTGGGTTTTTTGGTTGTGATCTGAAGTTTTCAAAGCTTACGTTTCGTCTACTACGGCGGTAAACATTACCAAAGGCGATGAGGTAATGGTCAAAGTGCACGAATTGGTGCTTGAGTTATTGTTCCCATTGTTTTGAATGCTGTAACTGAGATTCTGATATTTTGATAGTGAGTTGAGTTTTATCGAGTATTACTGTATTTTCGATTGAGATAATGTGAGTACCTTCTTTGCTGAGAGCATGTTCGATTACAGTTGATTTGTCGGTTTGTCCAGGTCGACAATTACTCTTTTGCTCATTACACTTCTTTCCGTGATAAATATGAGCCAGCTGTCCACAAATCAGACCCAGCCTCATTCCTCTTCAAACATCATGAAACAGATTACTCAATAAGCTCCGAAAATACCAAAACCTTTGCCACCGGAAAAACTTTCCAGCTATTGAAATTGAAAAAACCTCGACTGTCTCAACAAATGAGACGATTCACAGAGGTTAGATCATTACTGCCCGTTGCACATCTTCCAACATTTCACACCACGTTGCTGCAGGTCACACTGTCGTTTCACTACCTCGCTCACACTACCGGTACGGCCCATCTCACTTCGGAGGACAGAACCGTAGCCTGAGGACTCAATCTCTCGATCTTAGGTAGATTGAAGACCCTGGCGTCAAATCTCCAGTTCTTGAAAATGGCTTTGACGTCTCAGTTGAAACATCGAGCAACCCAAAACTTCAAACATGATTCAACCCAAACTTCAGATAATTTGACTGCTTGAGACGCAAATCTATCCGAAACCAAACACACACACACACACACACACACACACACACACACACACACACACACAACGTACTCATGAGACAAATAATGTTTTTCGACTCCTTATGTATTGTTCCATCATTGATAATCGGTTCACTTATTTAAAAACCGGTCCTATTATGTCAAAGCTATATTCTTGGCTTGATGGCCATAGTCGTCATATTTTTTTATGTTCGGCGTTTCGTCTACAGCTGCAGTAGACATCATCAAAGGCGATAAGGCAACGGAAGAAGTTTTTTTTTATTTGTCCTATGAACAGATATTATAGAATTGGTTTGGGTCTCCGGATTTAGTCTATAGGAGGTGGGTGTGTGTGAGCAACAACTGGTTGCAAGAAACAATTGATATACACGGATTCAGCAACAAGAGCTAACTGAACATCTGTAGTTTCAATTAGAAGTCTTTCTCATTTCTAGGTGATGAATAACATATTCACGGAAATTTTCAAACTTATTTTTAGGGCGACCCTATCAGCGTTGAAGAAAATCAAGATAAAGGAATAGTGCTAAAATCAAATATAACAGCTTCGGATGTGGATACTACTGCTAATCTCACGGTTGAAATTAACTGGCAAGAGTCTTACGCTTTGAAAAACTCCCGTCGTCTAGACATGACAAATGATACTATTCGAAATCAAGTTGAGTGAGTAATCACCAAATTCTTTTCAAGTGATTCAAAATAAATTTATAGCAGTATTACTTGAGAATCAATAAATTTTTTTCAGGTTTCTTGATGTTGATAGTCCAGACAGGTACTCCAGAAAAATTCAAATCGATTTGATAGTGAATGATGCTACAACTCATATTTTAGCACCCGACTATGAACTTTTTGACTCCTTATACCTCAGCTTAAATGTAACCGATCTAAATACCGATCCGGCGTTCTTGGATCAGAAAAGTACTTTAGGTAAGATACCATTGACATAAAAATAATTTCATCATTTTGAATACATTCCATACATTTTGAAGTTACCATTTACTATGTTTTTGTGTTGAATTTCATCACTTCGGACTTCCATTGTTTAATATGATATAACACGATTTGAGATAACAAATGAAATGGAAAATTTGAAACAGGATTGCTGAAAATAAAAATTATATCAAGAAAAAACACCCCAAAAAGAAACTTACAAAGGAATAAAAATAAGCAAAAAAATTAAAATTGAACGAATAAAATGATATAAAACGAAAATATCTAACTTTTTCTCATAATGAACAGTGATTCAGCAAGTTCTTACATATGCAGTACGTACAGCTTAGGATATACAACGATCCAATGACTATTGACTTAGGTCCTACCCCACTCGTTGACTTCAATTTTATGATAGAGTATTCCACCATGAATTAATGAAAAAGAAAAATAATAAGTTGTGATAGATTTCATGTACTTTTGGATGCAACTGATAACTATATAAATTTATCAGCTTCCGAAGTGTGGGCAGCTGTGTTACGAAATAGATCCCTGTTTTTTTTTCATCCTAAATGTCGTCAGGCATTCAAGAGAGTTCCATTGCGGCTCAGACAAATGGAGGATATTAAGGATGAAGTTAAAAATTCGAAGAAAGAAATTGATACCCTAAAACAAAACAAAATGATGTAGGATGAACTGAGTAGTATTAAAAATAAAATAAATGAAAGAGAGAAGAAAGCGAGCAGATAACGTTGTTATATTCAATATGGATGAATCTTTCATTACCAACAGAAATGAAAGAAATGAAGAAGAAAGGAACACAGTTAAGTAGCTACTCTCACATGTAGATGAAAATATTATGAATTTCAATGTGTTGAGAGTCGGAAAGTATGAGGGAGAAAAACGCCATCCGTGAAAAGTTGTACTAGCTTCAAACGAAACTGTAAAACAGGTAATAAAATACCGTAATAAAATTACTCTCAGTTAAAGTATACTCTGATCAAACACTCAAGCAAAGAAATTACTATAAACAATCGAAAATGAAACTGAACTATCTTATTAATGCGGATGATGACTCAAAATGTATAAAATATATAAATGGTATTCCAAAAATTGACAGCAAACAGAATGAATATTACTGGAGTTATTTTAACACCTCGACAGATGTTTCGATCACCAAATGATCAAGGGAGATTGAAGAGGAAGTTTAATCTTCCTCTTGAAGATGATCACTTGGTAATCGAAATATCGAGGTGTTAAAATAACGGTTTGGTGTTGGGATATTCGTTAATACACCAAAGGTTCCAAACAATGCATCACAAGTAGCAAACAGAATGTACAAAATAAGTCAAAAAAATGATCCGGAACTCCATCAAACTAGAATATAATTCGGACATAGTATATTTAAATATTGAAAGTTTATTAGCAAATAAATCTCAACTAATAGCAGATGTTTGTTGATTCTGCTCAGTGAATCTAGAACAACAATTGATATCAACGACTTTGAACTGGAAATTAGTTATTATATACTTGTTATATGTGATTCGGACTCCAGGCACAAAGGAAAGGGAATCTGATTTAAAAAATCTGTCTGTTTCAAAATCTGTTTTTCCGTTAATCAGCTGTCGCCCCCATACGAACGACAACTCTCACAGGTTGAGAAACTTGTGCGAGCTAAGGACTAACGAGGTCTCACCTTTTAACGTGTGATTCCTAACACGGATTCGTACATTATAAAACATTTATTCACAGAAACATTTATTGGTGTAAGTTTATCACAATTACATATTGTGATATAAAGTGGGTAATAGGCAGTCCAAGTCATGCTACAGTGTTGGATCATTTGGAAAACATTTGTGGAGAAATGTTTTGTAAAAACTTTCGCACAGTTAATTTCTTATCTAACGAATTTTATGTCGAAAAGATTGGAGAACTTTCCAATGCATATGGTATATCTCAGAAAGTAACAAAGTTTACAAGAATTACTAATAACAGTAGGACCTTAAATTGTGTTTCATCACTGTAACAACTGTTTTGCATGAACCTAAACTCACGGACCACCTTTAAATATCTGTTAAATATTTTCATAGTGAAAGGGTGAATTACAGAAACAAACGAACAAAAACTGTAGGAACTTGACGGAAAGAGATTAAAATTCAACATTAATCTTGAATTTATTGATTGTAATTCTTTATTTAACAAATACAAATATAACCCAATTTTATTATAATATTAAAGAAAATTTTGAAAATATCTCAAATGAAATTGCACCTTTAAAAACAATTACTTTTTACGAAGGAGATCTGCCTTGGTATGATGGTCAAATGACAAGGTTGAGTAAAGAGAAACATTCTGCTTACAAGTTATTTGAAAGAAATGATAATAATGTTAATTGGCAAAACTATAAAAATAAACGTAATGTTGTTGTAAATATTATCAGTTGAAGAAAAGTAAATTTTATGTTGATCAGATTGGCAGCAACAAACATAAACCACGTTCAATGTGGAAAACTCTAAAAAATCAATCAATACAAAACAGTTCACTAATTATTATACTAATGGTATTCAACTTGAACAAAATAATCAAAAAGTTATCATTAGAGATAAACAGAAATTGACTAATTGCTTTGAATTATTTTTTGTAAAGAGCATTATAGACATTATTCTTGATATTGAAAATACTGGATTTACCTGTGACATTGACAACGTTGATGAAGCAGAATTGCCAACCGTAACAGAATTCCTCTACAGAATTTTTCTACGGTAGCGGCGTAGCGGATTTGAACATAAAGTAGCGGAATCCAATATATTGCTTTGCTGACTACAGCACACTCGTCTCGTCATTCCATTTGGATTCCAGGACATCGGCTGCGGATGCACATCTTCACCGGCAACAGGAGGTTGCATGTCTCACAGAGGATAAGATAACATACATTTATTTAATCATGTTATGTATAAATTACATTTATGACAAGTCAGAGAAACAGATGGGTACAAGGCATAAAGTTGTGTATAAAAGAAAAAACAGTGTGGAGGTTTGGCAAACATTCTCCTTCTTAAAATTCTGTCTACGAACATGTTCTAAATATTCTATAGTGGAATAAAAACAGTTTTTTTTTTAAATTTTCTTATAACTTATTCAAAACGAAACTTATTCATATTTTTAATATTGGCAGGTAGTGCATTATACAATCTGAAATCATATGAGTTTTTTGTGATTCAAATACCTCCAAAATTCAATATATGATCCTATTACTTGGTTATAAGTTATCACTCATCAACAGACACAACATGAGATTACAAATTGCAGTTCGTGAGTGAATTCAAATACTTATGTTTCATCGAGGATAATCGTTCATCTCTTCATGTTCATTTTGATTAAATATATAAAAAAAAGGACTAAAAAGATATATTTTTCCTCAAGAATTTCATCTCAATTTTCGATATGCTCAAAAATTACACTATACAATTTCATAATCCAACCCCATTTTAATTATTGTGTTAGTCTTTTGTACTCGTTTGACAAAAATAAGGTATAGGCTTTACAAAAGTTAGAGAATCGTGGAATGGGGATTATTTCACAAGTGAATAGTTATACCACTATATCAAACATGTTGAGTACATTGTAGCCACTACAAAGTTTCAAACTAGCACACAACATCTCATTTTGAAGAATTATGTATATGTTGATCTCAGATTCATAACCACTTAACAAGAACGAGTAGCTCTCAAAAATTTCACCTTCCTCAAACTAATTTGACTAGTATGACAAAATCTTCATTTCATGAATGTTTGAATGAGTATACCGAACTCCCACTCGATAAATGTTTTCCAATTAAAAAAAACTCATCAACTATATAAAATCTCACCACAGTTTTTTTCTGTTTTGTAATATATTTGTTATGTTTATCTACATATTCAATCTATTCTGAAATCATTGTAATTTTTTTCTTCTAATACTATTTCATCATTTTTGTCATTAATTTGTATTGAATTACTTATACACTTTAATGATTATGTGGCATGAGTATTTTATAATGTAATGTATGTATATTAGGATGTTCCAAAGAAATAAATAAATATTATTATTATATTTCTTTCTTTCAGCCATTATACTCATAGGCATAATTGATATCAATGACAATACACCAATATTCGATGATGACACATTTAAAACTAACAGGACAGTTGAAGAAATGGCTGCAAAAGGAACTTCTGTTGGTTCTGTGAAAGCAACAGATCTTGATGTGACTAACACCGTTACCTACAACTGCACGTGAGTGATTTTTTCCGTATTTTTGATACAGAATACAAATTAACAGATAGTTTTTTTTTTCGATCTGAAAGATTTTGTCCACCAAAATTATAGATCAAGAGGTCGTGGTTCTACTTGAGTAGAGCCACGAAATAGAAGTTATAAA